AGAGAGAGAAAGAGAGAGAGAGAGAGAGAGAGTCCCGCACACGTGCCCGTGTTGTCCTGCGCCGACTCGTCGGCACCGGCACGGCACTTCGCGCCACACCTACAGAAACCTCCTTGCCCCAGCGTTCGGTTTCAGCTCTTTGCTGGCATGCGGGCAGGGGCCACAGCCCGTCTTCCACGGCGATGCGCAGCGGACCGGTGCTTTCAGGCGCTGCCCCGACATAAGTGTCGCCCACGCAAGCACATATTGCTTCACCCTGTTGCGGCTGCTTTGCACTCCTCGATTCCGCTGTGCCCGTTGCAGCAGCGCAGCGCGCCAAAACACAAAAACCTCCGTGAGCAGGACCACAACGCCCTTGCCTGGGATTCCCCACTGCTGCCGCCACCCGGGCGCGAACAGCGCGAATGTGGAGACTTTTTGCGCGGTTGGCGGCGTCGAGCAATTTTCGCATCTCGAGTGTTGCTGCTGTCGCAAGCCAGTTCGGGGGTCTGCCGTTGCTAGTAATTATTGCGCTGGGCTGCCCCTGGCCAGCTGCCCTACAGCAAGGGCCCAGCGACGCCCCTTTGGAGCGTGTCTTCGACCTTGCTGCAAACGAAGGGCCCAGTCGCCAAAACCGGGACTGTGCCGCATAGAATCGCGTAGCAGTCGCGTAGCAGTGGTAGTACTGCTGTTGCAGAATCGAGGCAGTGGTGCAGGCATAAAAGTTGGTTTTAAAAAACACGGAAATTCTTGTTGCTCCGCCAACTGCAGCCCCCAAGCCACCCAAGTGGATGGTTTGCCTGGGGAGAGGCACTTGCAGTTCCGCGCAACTGTCACGGCAACCTGTGTGTCTGAGGCGCATCCCCGGCCGGCGCCGCGCCGGAACAATTATTGGTTCCAGCGAGGAGCTATGGTTTCCTTCGTCGGCACTTCCGCGGCGAGCTGGAGTGCAAGCGACAGGGCTTTGAGCCACCAGCCGAGGAGATGCACTGGCACTTCTCATGCCCTTGCTGTGCATTGTCATGGTCTCCGTCGTTTCCTCGGCACCACCGCACTAGTACCGCAGTGTAACAGAGCGCCGACAATTTTCCCCTGCGGCGGAAAACGTCGACTTCGGAGATTGGCCACAGGGTTTGGCTCGCAACCGAGACTTTGCGACAGCAAGATGTTGCTAGCTGTGGCACCAGTGTGGCGCTATTTGGTTGTGCCCGCCCGGTAGCGGCTGCGCGGTCGTGGCTTTTGTTTCCACTTCACGAGCCGAGCCAGCCACGATGCTCCCACCATAAGCCATGCAGCTCGCGCTCCGCAGGCGACTGCGCTTACGGCAGATACGGCCCGTTCGTCTCGCAGGACCGGCTCGCTGGCTGCGGAGGCGACTGCGTCGAGAGAGAGCTCCAGATAGCTCCAGCAATGAGCTGGTGAGGGCCCGCTGCTGCTGCGGCGATGATGCCACTCCAGCAGGAGACACACGGGTGTCGCGCTGCGCCGCGCTGCGAGCTGAAGAGCCAGGCCGGGTCGAGAGCCAGCCCGGCGCCGTGCCGCGGCTCGCCGGAGCGAGTGACGGGCTGACGTGACGCAAGTGGTATCGACAGCAAGCTGGGCACCGTGCCAAAGTGGCAAGCCATTTTTTTATTGCAAACATTTGCAAACTATCTCGATCGGCCGCGCATTGGCTACGGGACCAGTAGATTCGTGGCAGACCCGGGCGACAGCTCGCTCAAGCGGAAGGGCACGGGAAGCCAAGGCGCCAGAGTTGGCACATGCTGCTCGGCGGACCAGAAGCACCCAGAACTCTGCGGAGGGAATGGTGTCTGCTTCGCGCGTGGAGAGGACCGTGAAGCAGCAGCCGGCGTGCGGCCCAGCCTGGGACAGCAGCAACGCCCGAGACGCAGGGGGGGAAGGTGGCGACATCTCGAACGCGCGCCGGTGACGCTGCCAGCCTCGGAGGCGATTGCCCGCCTGGGCTCCGGCATCTTCGGGCGCAGGCGCGGGTGCTCAGAGGCGTGGGACGTGGCAGCCCTGCGCAGCGGCGTTCGTCGTTTCCTGTGCTGCAGCCGCGACGGCCTTTGCGGTAATTAGCCGCGGACATCGCCGACCGGACTCCCGTCGGCAAGCAGAAAAAGACGTGATGGGGGCCGGGAGGGTATAAACTGCGTATAAATGCTGTGACAAAGGGCCAGATCAATGCTCACATGGGCGTCGCCGCTAGCCAACCCCACGCCCGGAGGTCGACTCAAAACTACAAAGTAATGAAAGCGTCACTTTTTCTGTCCGTCGGCCAAGGCCAGGTTGGAGGCAGGGGAGCCAGCGTCGCGGCAACCTGGTGCACTTCGCGGCCCCACTGCTTGTAATGAACCAGGGAGGAGCTGGAATGGACAAAACTGAGCAGAGAGCATGCAGGAGCTTTGAAGGAGCTGCATAGGCATAGTCTGGGCTGGAGCTGCAAGGGAGCTGGAGCGGAGCTGATGGAGCGGAACCGTGCCGGAGCTGGACAGCAGCTGCATGCAGCTGCAAAACAGCTCTGTGGCGAGAACTGTAACGGAGCTGTGACAAAGCTTTTGCGGAACTAGCGGGGCTGGAGCTTCAGCGCCGGGCACTGCAACAAAGCTGTAACGGAGTTGCAACGGAACCGTCCTGGAGCTGTGATTCAGTCGCAACGGGGTAGCGCAAACAGGACCTGCAACAGCGCTGCAATGGGACTTGTAACACCGCAGTCTAACACAGCTGCAACGAAAGCTCTATATTGGAATGTTGCGGAGCTCTAAACAGCTTGATGATACGGGCGGTGACACCACGTATGTTCCACGGAACTGTAACAAATGCAGCTGCATCGCCTGCACGGCTAGCTGGAGCAGTACCGGAGCTGTGACGGGAGCCCCTGGCAAATGCCTTCTAAAGTTTGGTTGCAAAATGGAGAACGACTGGCACAACCAGATGGCACATCGCTGTTAGCCACCGTGTTCTGGAGCTATCGTCGTTTGGTGTGGGCGAGGCAGATCAAGGCCTAAAAGCTTAAACAAACACGACAAAACAGCCGAACACCCGCATAGCCCATAAGGTCGCTCAGAACTATGATGCAGATGGAGTGCTGGATACTGCTCGGGAAGTTGACATGCCTGATACATCTTGACGCATACGCGGTATGAAATTGTTGCAGTGCTTACATGCTTGCATGTGTTCCAACAGGGTGGATGTCTGCTTGCGGCGTGCTGGCGATGAGGAAGTTTCGTTTGTGTTTGTGGGCTATCTGCTATCTGTCCATGCAGTTTCTGCGCAAGCTTTGCAGTTCGCCCGCAGGGTTTTCAGTTCGCAAGCAGTCGTCACATAATGCAAGCATATGCAATCAATGTGCACTAGTTCGCCCGGCGCTTTCAAGAACGTGCTTGAGACGGCTGCATCGAGTATGTCGTGTTTGAGGCCATGGGTGGAAGTTTGTGGTCAGCTCGGGAAACACACGTGATTGTGCCAGTGATGCTCGGCCACCAGGATTTCCACCCCCAGTTTCCAAGGTCACAACGATCTGCATTCAAAACACAGAAAAGCTTCTGTCTGAGACCACCGGCTCTGACAACTGAAGTTTTGCACAGCCGAGACGGTACCGTCGGAGCCGTGTGTGATCTGCCATGGATCGGACCACGATATTCGCATCTGCTCAACACTTCCCAGTACTCCCTGCTCCCCCTGCTCCGAAGACTGCTCTGCTGTTTGATCAAAAGTCACCTGACAAGCACACGCCGGACTGTAGGAAGTTTGGAGGATGTGACAGTACTGAGAACGCTCAGACAGACATGGTGAGCTGCCACAAGCGAGCTCCGGTCCTTTTTCGGAGAAAATACGTGGACAACCTTTCGCTGAGCAGAGCTGAGCGGAAATGTTTCGCAGCGTGAGCCCTCGGACGCCGCTTCGTTGCAAGATCGATGCTGCTGGGGTCTTCGACAGTGGGGATACGTTGAAGGAGACCGCCCTGAGCTCCCGCGGCAGGCGGACGTAGGCATCGCTGTCAAAAAAAGTGCGCCATTGACCCTAGGTACACTTCCCCCACAACCGTCGGCAAGCCTGAGCACATCTTCCAATCCTGGTCCAGCCGGCTCGCCGCCTTCGACCCCAAAGCATTGGTGCCCACCGCCCGGTTCGAACCATCAATACGAGTAGAGCACCCGTCGGATACATCCCCTACGGTGATGATATAAACCCTGCATTACCCATGATAAGGAGTATACCATAGTTCCCGTAGTCCGGGTCATTAAGGTAATGCAAGGATTATATCATCAACCGTATCACCATCACTCCATCTATAATCATAACAAGGAGCCCGACCAAAATAATCTTGGTAATTATTTGGGCCCCATCAGAATCTATGACATGCACCTTGGCCCTCTTTGCCTCTGTAGCCCCCGACCTTTTCCTCACGGCACTCTGCGCTTCTCTTCGCTGCCGAGCTCGCAAAGGCCACCCTCGTTGATGGCAAACCTTGGCAACAACAGAGCTTTGAGGGGTGACTTTAAGTAGGGCTATTCTCAGGATTTAGTACAGGGGCCTTAATGATTAGAATGTGTTTTGTCCTTGATTGTAGGGAGCACTCTGCCTCTAGAAGGACAGGACCGCTCCGTGGATCAACACTGTAGTTTGTTGGCGTCCCTTATCATAACATCGAAGCAAGGCTGCGATCGAGGTTTCAGGTGCCTGGGCTGCTGTTTTGGCCTGGTGTCTTGGTTCGCATTCAGACGCACTCTGCCTGAAAATCACCCGTGTGATTTCACTATAATGTATAATATTTTGGCACATCCCCACACGGCTTTTGCACGTCAATCGCGGGCTTGGCGGAAACGAGTCTACGAAGGACAAACATTCCAGCAGTCCCTGCTCAACAAGCGCCTCCGCCGACTCCCTCGCAAGGACATCCTGACGACGTCAATAGAGCCATCTCCCTGCCAGATCTCACCGTCGCTCGGGGCAGGCTTGTGCTTGTGCTCGCTGCGTGCTCGACGGGCTGCACCGGGCATGAGGTGCTCTGAGTCTCTTCACGCGCCCAGAAGCGAAGCTACAAGTTCACCCGCCGTCAAGTTCTCGGATTGGGGCTCCACGTGGTCGAGGCCCTGGTTACCGGCCCGAAGTAGATTCGCCTCACGTGCCTGGAGCAGGCGTTCGCACCAGGCCAACCAGTCTCTCTGGAAGAGCCCCTCCGCCCAGACCTGCCGAGGCTTCGTGAGCGTCTCGACGTCCGACTCGCCTCGTTCCTTCAGCTGCAGATTCAGCTGCTGAACTCTCTTCTGCAACCTCTCCTTCCTTGACTCCAACCGCTCCTTGCCCGCCGGACTCCCGGTCAGAGCGGAGAGGTCCAGCACGCGCCGGACCCGCGCGTCGCAGGCGCCCGGCTTCGCCATGGCCGCCACCCGGCCGGCCTCCTCCGCGAAGTTCTCGAGCTCGGACTTCAGGTCCTCGGGTCCCTGGACTTCCGGAGCCTTCGGGAGCGGAAGACCCATCTTCTTCTCCAGGAAGACGAGCAGGCTCCGACAGGTCTGAAGGTTAGAGGGTGTGTTGCAAAGAAGCTCCGGTGCGAAGCCTCGGAGGGCAACGGCGAGCTTCCGCTTCTTCCCCACGGGCTCAAAGTAGTCCATAGCAAGCTCGATCCGCTCCTCCGCACTCTTTTCAGATGGCTGCATCGCTGAGATCACGTCGAGCTTCACAGGCTCGGCAGGCTTTGCCGGCTCCGCAGGCCCTGTCTCCTTAGGGACTTCCTTGGCCTTGGCCTTGGCCTCCTCCTCGCCCTTGTCTTTCGCCTCCACCTCCTCGCCCTTCCTTTCCGGCTCGGCGGGCTCGGCGGGCCCGGCCATGGCAGCGAAGTGCTGCCCTTAAGGCCCCCTTCCTTTGCTCGAGCCAAAGGCCCTCTCCGTGGCGGTAGACAAAAGGCGTATATAGCGTATACCGCAATGTCAATGTAGCGGATGTAGGGATGCAGGGGACCCCATGGGCTGGTAGAGCCCTTCTTCACCTGAAACGATGCAAGTCAGGGCCGTTGCTGGACGGCCATTGATTTGAAGCACGGGCTCTTCTCGACCTCGGAAGATAGGAACAGCACACGGATACTCAGGCTATTAGATCTTTGTGCAACGGATATGTCAATGAGCTTTTCTGAAGAGACCTTCTGCTACGAGCACCGAGCTCCAGGCAAACAAGTACCGACGACCAAAGGGATCTGCCTGCTCCTTGCTTCCAGGACCTCCAGCAGATCCTTCAACGATTCAAAGTAAAGTAGTGGTGGTGGTGGTAGAAGTAGCAGTGCAGCTGATTAGCAACTGGCTGGTAAAGCAAGGCCAGCCGGTACGCGTGAGCACACGCACCTTGAGCGGTATGGGCTGTCCTGGCGGTAAATGACTAAGGACCAGCCGCCAGTTGACGGAATGATGCCAAACCTGGCGGTAGCAACTGGCATTTTTTGTTCACAGTCGCAGTGCACTGCAAGCACCAACTGAGTCAGCGGAACGTGGCCGAGAGTAACTCGACTAATTCCTGCGGAGGGGTCTCCCATGACTTGGTTGGTCACGACCTCACCAACTCGTTCTAGTGAAGTGAGCTTCAACTTCTTGCGGTGTGTACTAAGTTTCTCACGACACCCGGGGATATGGCTCCCGGTGGCTCCTGAAACTGCAAGCGGCGATCGTGTCTCCGTGGGGGTTTGCGCTTCAAACACGGCAGGGCTGGACTCCGCCCTCCTGCAACCTCCGTTGGCGGGGCCTTGCAACCAGGACCTCGGACATCACTCGGAGTTGGATGCAAGGCGAATGCAAGCATCCCCCCCGCGCGCGCGCGCGCATGTCGTGCCTTGAGCTGGCTCGCCAAGCTGCTCAAGAGAGCCTCGGCGCGGGGGGCGTCCTTGCCTACAAGTTGGCAACGTGGTCTGCAAATGAAGGTTGTACGCATGGGTACGATGCGGGTGCATGCACATATGCGACATAAATACATACTTACATACTACACACATACATACTTACTTACTTGCATCCATGCATACAGTGCGCGTGCATAAAACATTGAGACCTTGCCAAGTTTTGCAAGCACAGCTCGGCTCCGGACCTGCCGACGGGGTATCTGCACCCGTCGGTCCCCCGAGCCATCCACACGGGCCACGGCCGCAACGCTGTCGATGACCTGAGAGATGGAATTGCAGAAGCTTGGGTTTGGGGGTTTAGGGGTTTTATGATGGACCCCTGTGCCGGATCCCTCGGCTGCCTTCGGTGCCAATGTGCCAGCAAACTCACACACCTGCTGCGTCATCAACGACCGCAGGCATAGATGTCCGCACGCTCGTCACATCATTCGCGTCGTCCCACATCACATCACTCCCCCACTGTCTGTTTACAGTCGCTGTGAGGCTCAAGTTTTAATTCGTCGGTAGCACCGGAACCTCTATTGGGCCGGAATATGGTCAGCCAAGTGAGAAAAAGTCTCCTACAAGTGCCACCCAAGTCGCGCCCTGCAAACTGTGGACTCACTCTAATCCCGGGATGGTGGGAAGAAGCTACAGTAAGGAAGAAAACTGTGTTGCTTGTATTGCTGATCCTGGTCCGGCCGGCTGAATCCATCGCACCCTTATTGCTGGGGACTTTACTTAGATCGGATCCCTCAATCCAAAATCCCGAGCCGCCGAACAAGTCCAAACCCCAAAAACCCAAAATCGTCGAACGGAGGGGTCCATCGCCACAGCCCCGGGCCAGCAGACCGGGTAGAGGAGCGCCCCGCAAAGCTCGCCCGGCCAACTCCGAGCAAAAGTCATGCAACTCTTGGAGCGAGCTGCAGGCCTCGATCTGCGAAGATTCCGGGCTGAGGGGGCGACAAGGGCATTTTGAGGGTTTTTGCCAGGTGCTAACAGGCCCTGAACCACTGCTTTCATCCTTACCACCCCTCCGTAATTCACAGAGGCACTTCCGCAATTCACGAATAAACTCTTCGCCAGACGGCTCAAACGTTTGAGGCCAGCGCTTGGCATTGCGGGCCAATCAAATAATTAGGGATTCATCGAACGAAGTGCGAGGGTCTGGGGTTCTAGTGGCTCTTGGCTTCTGCGCTGCTTGAGGGATTGAATTTCGGATGGGCCGCACACTGGGGACCCGGCACGGTGCTTAATTCGTTGCATTGCTTGCGTAGCTTGAGCTGCGGCCTGGTCAGAGAACGAGCTTGAAAAGTCAGCCATCAGCTGCGCGGCAGTGCTCTGGGTTTCAAAAGTATGGGAACCAGAACTTCTTATCTAACGACGTGTAGGACTTCAGTCCGTGCCGTAAGATCGCAACATCCAAACCGGCGCTCTCATGCACCACATGCTGAGCTCCGAAAACCGCGTCATCTCTTCAAACCTACAAGCACCCCAAACTCCCAAACCTTCACCCCTATATTCCAAACCTCAACCTCCGAACCACCAGACCCCTGTAAACTAAAGCCGACCCTCTCTGGCGACCTCTTGTGGTCGAGCTGAAGCACTGAGCTGTACCTCCAACCTCAAGGGATTTCAGAGGTAGCCCACGCCATACTGTGAATATGGAAGGATTCCGAAGGAGTTGGATGACTGCTTCTTGGGAAAGTGCCGGAAGGCTTGTGCATGGAGGTGGTCTCGTTCGAGGTTGAATGGCTCGAAGAACCCTCAACCCTGAAACCCTGAACACAGTCTTACCATGTGTTTTTGGTATCTTGGAGATTGCACATCTTGTTCGGGGCTACCCCCAGATCCTCCACCCTCGGCTGTATCCTGTAGATCCCCTCCCACCAACTCCGGGGCTGCCTAGTGCAGGCTCAGCCGAGGCTTCACGGTTCGGGGCATCGCTCGGGATGCCTGGAAATGTGGCTATACCTAGTCTGCCTTCACGTATTGCAAATCTGAGCATCTAAGGCTTCTGCCCATCGGCATGACGCCTGTTACCCCCACTACAGAAGTGACTAATGCTAGAGTTGAGCTGCACCAGTACTGTGGCATGTGGTTACTCCACTGTGCCAACGGCTCAAGCATGCCCCCGGCCGGGGCACAGGCATTTCATGCACTCTCTGCGCAGAGAAAGTCCGTTCCGTGTCAATCCAGAACACCTTGACTGCTTCCAGTTCGTGAGAGAAAGTAGACGTCTGGCGGGAATGTCGATGATGACCCCAAACACCGAAAACCGTGTGGAGAGTCAGCATATTGCCCCAAGTTGCAGTGCTGCTGTTGCACTTATCTCCGCTGCCCCGGACTAAGAGAACGAGGGTTTGCCAAGTATAAGTAAGAACAGCAGCAGTCTATAGCAGTAGTGGCAATAACATTCACTAACAATTAGAACAGGCTTTGGGGCCCATTATACTATAGTCATTATCAGGAAGCCTACGTTATTTAGGCCCCCCGTATTAGAGGTCGAAGAAACTTCTGACTTGCAGACCGGGCTGCATCATGGCCGCAGGCAGCGATCAAAGCTGCAGCATGCAGGCAAAACCTCCGCAGCCGGAGCTGAGGGTTTAGGGGATAGGGGATAGGGATTGAGGGGTTTAGGGGTGTAGGGTTTAGGGCCTACGGGTTTAGGGGTTTAGGGGTTTAGGGGTTCGGGGGTTTAGGGGTTTAGGGGCTGCCCGCTTGACACCAACACAGTCTTCGGAACCCCCCCCCCCCCCCCCCCTCCTCCAAAAAAAAAAAATCGCAAACTTCAAATCAGATCAGAGTAATTCCCGACATGATGCTGAAAGCACAAAGCCGAAAGCACAAAGCCAAATTCTAGAAGGTAGACGAACCCGCAATCTTGCATTTCGGGGTGCAGGCGTTCCGAGCCACTGCCGAGGGCGTCGATTCATTTCTGCCCCGCAAAGCCTGCAGCTTCTGACCCGACCCTGAGCTCGGGGCTGCGTCTTGCCGACACCGGGTGGCCCAGCGACCTGGCTGAATGGCAGGGAGCGAAAGCTGAAAGCTAAGCTTGGGATTCTTGTTCTGATACTGGGCAGTGGATGCTGCCGAAGAAGCCACTTGCTTCGACTCAAGAAGAAGAAAGAAGAAGTGATGCAGAGGCGGAGAAGGGATGTTGATGACCCTGATCAAGACGACCAGAAGACCCGTCTCGCCTCCACCAGCGCCGCAGAGAGCCCCCCCGCACCCAGTGCAAGGCTCAGGGATGGCAAAGGACAGGGCCGAGGCCTGGGCCCATGCGGTTCAGGGTTGTTTTTGTTTGTTTGAAGATGTTTGAAGTGTGCTGGGCATTTCTCGGTTTATTAGGGTTTAGGATATTTGTTTGCAAAGCCATTCAAGTGCCGGGTTTGCGGTTTGACTGTTGCTACCAGTACTAGCTCCTGCCCTTGCGCTCATGACGACATTTAGTTCACGTTCACAATGTCCGCCTGAATCTGGTGATTGTCAACGCTGCTATGATTGAGCATTCTTGTTGTGACCGTTTTGCATTTTTTAATGTTCTCATCCCTACAAATGGGACTACTGCGCCATCGTCGTTCCATGCTAGAATACAGGTCTGGCCGGCATCACAACAGCATCTGCCGAAGCTTGACTCGGCGTTGGCACAACATCCAGTCACTGGCCTGCTGGGACTCTCATCGCTATGATAGCAATACATATTACGTCAATGATAGTCCTGTCATCACCGCAACAATCACGATGACCCTGGCGAGCAGCTCCATCATCATCACCGACATCGTGAAGGTCACGGCAGCAAATGGGCTTGTCATCGTAGTTCTGCCAACTACTCGAGCTTGTAAAGCCTTCAGAATTCACTCAGATCCGCGCCGCACAACTGCCTCATTGTCAGCAGCCAGGTCCTGAAACCAGGAACATACCGGATCGAGGATGAGAGTGCGATGCGAGCCGCAAGCCCGGTTGCCAACGATTGAAGGGCTAGATACGAGCAGTGACGCTACGGCCAAATCTCAAGGACTCCACGGACTCGAGAGCCTTAGCCAACAGAGGCAAAGCACCTGTAGGCCCAAAGCCGTCAATGATCGTCAATGCCGTACTTGCACCCTCGCCCTCAGCATCCCTCAACAGCACACTCCAGAACCCACGCCTTCAATACTGAACCTTAAATTCGAAGAGACTAGAGCCCCAAAGCCAATCGTGAGCTCAAAACCAAATAAACAATCCTACAGCCGAAACTCTTTACGAAAAAAGACTCATCCGAACCATATCCCAAACCCTAAGGCCGGGAGCCCCACCCAGGCAGAGATGGCTGGAGCGGCCGTCGCAGCCCAAGCCAGGGACAAGAGCTCTGTAGCCTCCTCCTGGGTTTGGGAATTGAGAGCTTCATGGGTTTGGGGGGTTTAGGACTTTTAGGACTTAGGGTTGATGATTTTGGGGTTTAGGTGTTAGGATCTTGGGATCTCTGGCTTCCGGAGTGCACTCTACGACAGCCAGGATTCCCTCGGAACGTAAGAGTTGAAACTTCGGGATTTCGGGCAGCAAGGTTTCGAGGATGGGGCGTATTGCGTTGGTGCCTGCATTTCACATCCTCATCTCAAAGCTTGCTACCACCACGACACCATGACATAATGCCTTCGCAACGAGAAGGATACTGAACAAACAGAGACGAATAGACCCTAAACCCTAAACCCTTAGAAGAACGAGAAGAGCCAGGATCGCAGTCAGAAGCAAAACCTCAGCACTCCCCGGCCTCGGTAATGAGAAGCCAATCCCGAAGCTCCCAGGGAGGTACCGACACGAAGTCCTTGAGATTGCTAAGGCCTCAGAGGGGGCGGGATTCAAGGTCTTAGCTTTGTGGTTTTGGACTTTAGGGCTAGGCTTGAGGGTGTGGGTCTCGGTTTGCTGTGTTGCATCTTAAGGGCCGGGTTCCAAAAAAGAATCCAAGCGAGAAGGCGCTTGGCATCCCCCACCCACCTTCCCTGGTTTCGGGCTTCCTATGCCGCCCTACGGTTGATGATATGAACCCTGCACTACCTTGATGACCCTAGACTATGGGAATTCTGGTATGTTCCGTTTTATGGGCAATGCAGGATTTATACCCTCAACCCTAGAGATCCCGAAACCGTCCTTGGATCTTGGCAGTGCGGAGGACGACTTGAGAATTTGGGCTTAAGCTTCCGGCTTCACGGCGTGCTCTGTTTGTCTTTGAAACACTGCCGCAAAAGCATGAGGGCACATGTCCACCCAACCTCCGTTTCTTGGCATCTCAGACTCCCTGAACCCTTCACCCCCAAAGCCAAAACCCCTCAAACCCATGAAACCCCTAAACCCCCAAGCCCTGAACCCTTCACCCTCTAAATCCCGAAACCGCCCGAAACCCTAAACCCAACCCTCGAATCCCTCAAACGACTCACCCCTGAACCCAAAGCCCTATTATAGATCCCTGTAAGGAACCCGAATAGATCCCTTGCAAAGGAACCCTTATCAAAACTTGCCCCCCGAGTCTGGAGCAGCTGGGCTTCCGGGCGGCGAGCCTGCAGCGCTTTCACCAGTATCTCACCACCCTGTCACAGGTTTGGGGCTTTGGGTTTAGGGTTTCGGGTTTAGGACTGAACTTTAGGGTTTTCGGGCAGAACGCCGACATAGAGGGTTTGCAACTGAGGATGTTTGTGTTTGGGGTCTGGGCTTCAAGGATTTGGGCTTGGGAGTTGCGAGGATTTTGATTACAATATGGCGTTCCACGAACCAGGGTTCCGGTATAAGTGTGTAAGGTTTTGGCGCTTCCGTGGCCAAGATTCTGAAATCAGGGTTGTGAGGCAGGAAACCTTTGGAACGATTTGGAAACGGCGTGCACACTACAAGTACACGGGAGATTGATGGAAGAAGAAGAAGAAAGTGGATAATGTAGGGGCCTTTAATAATTCGAAGAGGGTTTGGGGGTATATTGTACCATAGTCATAACAAGGAGCCCCCGAAGCCGTATTCTACTGATTCAGGCCCCTATAGTATCTCTTCAATTCAAGCCTCAAGCACACCCTGGAGCCTCGACCCCACTCCCCAAAACTTCCCCAAGCCCTGTCCCTTCCCCCCCCCCGGCCTTCCCGCACACAATCTTAAACCTAAACCCTAAACTCTAAACCCTATAAACCCTAAACCTAAACCCTAAACCCCTAAACCCTAAACCCTAAACCTAAACCCTAAACCCTAAACCTAAACCCTAAACCCTAAACTCTAAATCCTAAACTCCGACTCCCAAACCCTGAACCCTAAACCCCACCAAGTCTCCAAGATGGAGCCTGGCAAAGCGCAGCATCCCCGAAGAGCTGTTCGAGAGGCGCATCCGCGGAGAGCTTCCGACGCCCTTCGCGGAGCTTCTGGGACTTCGGTGACTTTTTATAATATAGGGGCCGAAATAGTGAATATGGTATAATGGGCTCCAAAAACCTACTCTAATTATTAAGGCCCCTATATTCTCTGGGGTTGAGGCGCTGTGCTTCCGGGCAGGGGGTTTCGCGCTTCAGGCTTGGAGGTCTTTTAAATCGACTGAAAACATCTCCAGGACAGCCGCGGAGAGACGCTGTGGCCGAATGGGGTTGTTTGTTGAGGGTGGGGCGGGCTTTGCTCGACTTCGGGTTTGCGGGGATGGGAGGTTGTCTGCAGCCAGCCTTGTGGAAGACCGGAGAGCATCGAATGTGAAGTCCGAGAGGTCACTCCGCGAAGAGCTTTGGGCTCAAAAGTCTGGGGTTCCCTCGACACAGCTACCCTTGTCCTCGCATGCTTTGATATGTTGGTAAGCAGATGCTGCTGACACTGTTATTGCCCTCGTCAACTACGGAGGACTTGGGGTCTCTGTACAGGGAATTGGCTGAGGGGTTAAATGTGCAGATGCGCAACGCTAGAACCAGGATCTTGTAGCCTAGCTGGTAGGTCTGAGCCAAGACGGCGGGGACACATACTTGCCATCCCCGTGGAGCGCACCATGAGCCACAACCGACCAGCCAGGACTAATGAGCAACTCGAAGAGCTGCCAGGCGCAAGTGCTGCAGATGCGAAGCCGCCTAAACGTCAGCCAAACATCTCGTCCTGTTGCAAAGGGCTATGCGGCAACCCGAGAGCCCAACTCCCACAGCCACCATTTTCGTCCTGGTGCTCTGTGGCTAACTTTGACAGGGCACCGCGATGTCGCCACGCAGAATCTGTACACTGTACAGGGGACACTGCGCTAGTATGCTCCATCTTTGCAACCAGTCCAGGTTCCCCCCGACGAGCAAGTCATGTCCAAGAAGACGGCTGGACTTGCTGGAATGCCAATGCCCTCTGCGAAACAATGACCAATCACGCAGGTTTGAACTGTAAGCCGCCGCAAGACAATGTGTGGACGCCAATGCCAGCATCCGTGCGCTCACATCGAGCTACCGGTAATACCCCAAGAACCCAATACCCCTTGATTAAGGAATATATACCTTAAATCATAATATTAGGACCTCTACAGTTTAAGGTATATTCCTTCATTAAGGGGTATTGGAGTCTCTGGGTACCCTAAGGTGTCGAAATTCAGCGCCTGCTTGGCATTCCTGGGCCGCTCCGCGGCTCTCAGAAGAGCGCGGTCCTTGGAAAATTAGGGGTATTTTAGGGTTCCTTTAAAGGGGTTTAGGGTTTAGGGAGTTTCCGAAAATTAGGGGTCCTTATTTTGGGGTCCTTATAATAAGGATCCTACTATTTGGGGTGCTATATTGAGGTTCTTGGGAACTAAGCTCGGCTCGGGCTTAGGGTTTAGGGTTTAGGTTGGGGGCTGAAGGACCCTTTTCTGGGGTTTATGTGGGGGCTTGCAGGCTGGGGGCTGGGGGCTGAGGCCTTGGGTTGGACGAGCCGCTGTCAATGAGTCCGTGTTCAAACAACGGCGGCGCGAGAGACATAGTGCAGTGTTTTCTTGGAAGGAATCACACTAGCAGTCACGAGCATGTTGCACCTCAAACCTCCACCCGGATCTGGGCCGGCCACTCATCAATGACAGGAAGCTCTGCACCTGACGTCCAGGGCAGGGGGGCTCAGGGTTACAGTAAGGCCGCTCAGGCCATTTCGGCTTCCGATCGGGCGAGCTCGTCGTTGGGAGTGAAGCTGCCAGACTCGTCCTTTTTCTTTTGTTGCTTACCTGTCTCCGTACTGTTGCCCCTGTTCCAAGACGGTGGCGTTTAGCCGTGATGATCCGGCGTTGAGACTCACCTTCATCCCTACAGTAGAATGCCAAATCCTAAAACTCCAACCGCTCTGACTTCAAGCTCGGATCTCGCGCGGAATCCTCCTAAGCCCAGAATTCGGAAAGCGAGGCACTGCCTCCGTCACACAGCGGAATCCAGAAACTCGACCCCGCCCCATGGGCTTCAATCCGCAACCCTGGGCCAAACGCCTTGGCTTTGCGCATTGGAGGCAGATCGGGCACGCCTGGCTGGCCAAGGAAGCAGCGTCGAATCAGAGGCATACGACTTCAGGATTTCGGGCCTACAGCCTAGGCAGAAGGACAATGAGGATCCCACGAAGGTGCAGAGACAACAGACCGCCTTCGAGATGTATGTGGTGGTCACAACAAGAACGGACATCCCAACAGCAACATGGGCTTTGACTAAATCAGGAACGGGGGCCACACTACTGATGGATTGCACCCCGGCCTCTCCGCCAGAAGCACTTTCACAGCGGCTCGAGTCTGCTCGCTGTGCTGCGTGGCATTGCCTCAAGTCATGACGTTCGCACAGCTCAAAAAACGTTCCATGCCTCGGTTCGTCAGCCATCATTCTCCGACCCTACATCAGATACCCCCTAAACTTCGATGCCTCCCATCCCACCCCAAACCCTAATATAGGGTCTTATTACAATTGTAGTATAATGGGCCCCAAAACCCGATTCTAACATTTAAATCTATTAAGGCCCCTATATCAAACCCCCCTTAAACCCTAAACCTACCGGAGGAGACCCGGCTCTCCGGACTGAGCACCCTGCGCACTGCGAAGACCCCGACTTCCCGAAGCAGGGGCATCTCCGGGTCCGCGTAGCAGTGGGACAGCAAGATGGGCCTCGGTAGGTCAGCAGGGCTCTGGGGGATAGGAGCCTGTCTGGGATGCTTCGGGACCGTAATGGAAGATTGCTCACGGCGATGATGATGAACGATGATGACCATTACTGCATCGTCCACATCGTCATCATCAGCAGCAAAACCCAAACCCTCATCACTACCCTCATCGTCATCATCATCATCAGCAGCAGCAGCTACAGCAGCCGCAGCAGCTTCATCTTCACCGTGGTCATGCTCACAGTTACTATTAACCTCATTTTCCGTGCTGCTGCTGTCCTGCTGTCCTGCTGTCCTGCTGTCCTGCTGTCCTGCTGTCCCGCTGCTATCCTGCTATCCTGCTCCTGCTGCATGCTGCTTTCCTCCCCCTACTGTCCTCCTACTGCTGCTGCTGCTGCTGCTGCTGCTCGAGAAGCTTGTTGATTGTACGATGGCTTTGGAGTAAGAAATACCACCCGAATTTCCAAAGGCTGCTTTTGCTGCTGCTTGCTTCGACCAGGCCCAAGACGAGACACTCCGAGCCGCGGGCAGACCTCCAGACAACCGCAGAAACTCGGCAGCCTGGCGAAGAGAGCGCAACTGGCATTCCGCATTGGGCTTTCGTGCGGAAGGCGCTCTGACAACAAACCAATTCATTTTTCCGGTGCTCGTAAGCCTTGCTGTCCTATGTCGAGACGCTGCCGACAGGGGTACCGAGAGGTTCAGACACAAGTCTAAAGCCTCCGGGCTTTCGTAGAGAACGTTGCCACAAAGCCTGCCAGCAGCCAGGGAACGTGAGCTCTCTCCTTCAATAACCGGGCCCAAAAAAGTTTGAACTTTCTAAGATAGACCAAACATATAAGGCCAAAAAGTTTAAAGTTCCCCCATTGGCTATCTAAGTGAGGGAGAGAATGGCGTAAGGCCTAAGACTTCCATGGAACTCTGCCAACCTCAGCTGCGCCACGAGCTGGCAGGCGGTGGCCGCTTTCACAGCCTGGAATCAGAAAAACTTAAGTGCCCTCTCAAAATTCCATAGGGCTTCGAGGTCGCATCGCAGAAGGGACTATTCATCTTGGCTGCCGGCGGCGTCAGGATTGGATGAGGTGGGCTCCTCAAGGATGGCAACACAAAAAGCCGAGCCGAACAGCATCCCGACTCGTCGGTGTCCTTCCGCGAGGGCAGCTCCGCCCCCACTTCCGCCACCGCCTGGGAATTTTCCCTGAATTCTTGCATATTCTCCCCGTTCAGTAGAGTGCCATGCATGCTGGTGCTGGTGGCGGGCACCGAGAGATCGAATCACAAAACTCTCTGTGTGCCGAAGCTACAAGGATTACAAGGCAGACGTGCAACGAAACGTGCAGCGAGTCCAATCCACATCCACGAAGGACAAAGGCTAGCCGGAAGTGCGACATGAGCAAACAACGACAGCTGGCACAGATGTTGTCAGGATGATGGCAAGCTCAGGGCGGCAGCAATGCCCGCACTTGCACCCTAAACAACCGAAACCCGAAGCCCTGCAACCCCTGGAATTCCTGGAATCCTGAAAAGAACTCGACATTTGACTTGTTTACCACACAATGCTGGGGCGCATGCCGCAGTCCCAAAGCCTCGGCATGCGGCAGCTCAGTGCTACAGGGTACGCTGTGCGTCTTCATGATGGTCAGGGCTTTCGGATAGCTTTGAAGAAACACCCTGAAAGCTAGCCCAGTCATGTGGTCATAGTCAATATTGAGAATGCTTGCGGAAAATATACGTCGTAATAGTAAATGGCAATGATGCAGAAGCTTCGAACCGTTTCATGCTGCAGCGACACGACATTCAGAATGAAGCACGCGGCAGTCGATTTTGGAACACAACCAACACAATTCGACAGCACCAGCCGAAGGTTTGTTTGTGCCGTCTAGGACTCATTGAGCGGAAAATGTTAAATGACTTCGGGCAGTCTCAACGGGCTCAACGGGCGTAAACGTGCCGCTAACTAAACAAAGTACACCTTGAAATACATTCGTAGCGTTGTGTATAATTACCCAGGGCAATCCCGAGGCACCCGCGTAAGCGGTGCAGCGCTTTCAGCAGCTGAACATTGGCTGACAGGTAAAGTCCTGCAGAACTGCGTGACGCTGGACGCCTTCGTGGAGGTTTGGGGGTGTGGGGTCTGCAGTTTTTTGCACGTGAAGATGCAGGATTTACCCTAAACCCAAAACCTAAACCGTAAACCCTATTAAGAGAAAGCGGCCTACAGGTGGGGTGCCAGGTCTGATCGGCACAGGAGTCCCGTTCTTCTAAACCCTCAACCGAAACCCCAAACCCGAAACCCACAAGAACTCCAAACCCCAAACCAGGTCCTGAATCCTAAACCACTCCGAAACTGAGCCCTAAACCCCAAACCTGGAACCCTACACCCTGAACCCTAAACCCTGAACCCCTAAATCTCTAAACCCCTAAATCTCTAAACCCCTAAATCTCTAAACCCCTAAATCTCTAAACCCCTAAATCTCTAAACCCCTAAACCCTATACCCTGGAAGCCCTGTGCCTGCCAGCTTCTGTGGGAAGGGTGATCCACACGGGATACCAGCCAGCTCCTCCAAGGCGGCTTGAAGGGCCCGATTCGGGATTGGGGTTTAGGGACACTGGCTATAGCTGAGCATGATGCAGCAATTACGATGGACAGGGAGCTGGCAGAAGCAGAGACAACAGCAACCCAACAATAAGAACAGATAAAATAGACTGTGCCGAATCTCCAGGCTTGAAAGAAGAATGAAAAGTCATATACTCAGACGGGGCCCTCCACCTTAAACCCTTCGTTCTAGCCGACAGAAATGCCCATCCACGGAGCCGTGTGCAAGAAGCAACGAAATGATCGGAAAAAAAGGTGATGACACCATCAGTTCAACTTATCCGCTGCATAGCCATGCACGCATGCATATTCGCATTGGTTTTCGTGTGGCGTGGTTGTCAATCATGAGATATCACTGGAAAGTGTCGAGAGCAGTATTGGTGGTCGTCGTCGGGGTGACAGCACAGTCTCATTCAGCAGTAATGGTATATCTACGCCCTAGACGCCTTGAGCATCGTAGGATGGCTACATCATGCATCAGGAGTTCAGAACCTACGGCTATTTCCCACTCAGAGAAGCTGCAGCGACCGCGCTGGGCAGCCGTGCTACGGCGGCCAAAAGCAGCTCCCGGAAGGCTCCCTCCTCGCCCGCCTGCACAGGAGACGAGTTTGGTTCGTCCGCTCTCGGGGAATCCATCCATCCATCCATCCATCCATCCATCCATGCATCCATCCATGCATGCATGCATGCATGCATGCATGCATGCATGCCACCACCACTACCATTATCATCATTATCATCATCCTCATCATCCTGTTGCCACACAAGACACTGATAAAGCATGAGACCGTATGGCGCAGAGTGGTCTTACTCATACTGCCATACCAAACACGACGCCACAATGGTGACGAGAGCAATCGCCATTTAAACCTGTCATAAACCACTATGACCTTGTGAGTCATAAAACAACGAGCCAACAGAACAGCAGGAATGGGATCTGGGACTCTGGTCATGTTACGGCAAGCACTTCCCAGGTATTAGGAAGCAGAGCTATAACTGCTGCAAGGCCCTGGCTGGGCCTCCTGGCTGCAAGGAACCTCCTCCGGATGGAGTCGCTGGGCTGCCAGCCTGACAAATAGGGTTGAGGCGCAGAGTGTAGGGTTTACAAATTCAGGATTTGCAGCTTTTGGGTTCGGGTTTAGGGTGTAGTCTGAAACCGTTTGCTTGAATATTTGGAAGGCTTGGAGCCTGGGATGCCGGAGTGACGGAGCCTGAGGCACGGACGCCGCGAGATCGAGGTCCTCTGAGTGTAGACCCAGAGCTTGGCATGCATCTTCAGGAGGCGGGCTGTAGTCCAGCCTCGGGGCTCTGGCTTTCAACTTTGGGGTGTAGGGGTTTCAGCCATGCCCTACGAGCCTATTCCCTGAATATCCTAACCCCCAAAAGCATCCAAAAGCCCAGGCAAAACCGTAAAGCCCAAACCCTTGAAAGCCAGAATCCTAACCTCTAATGCCATCAAGCCTTCTTACCCATCTTGGGTTCCAGGCTCCAGTCTCCACCGGGCTGCCAGGTCCAGGATCGCGGATGCCATTTCTTCTGCCGCCAACTCCTCTTCACACAAGTTTACAGGTTTAGCGGCGTAGGGCGCTTAGGGGTTTAGAGTATAGGGCTCAGGGCTTTGGGGAATGACACGACGCTCACCATGATCACGATGATGATGACGACGATGACAGAAAGTAATGATGAGACCAGGGCGACGACAACAACAACGGCGACGGCGACAAGGAAGAGGAAGGGGCAGAGGACATGACGACTTGGATGCTCGTGCTAGCAAAGGGATAGCTGCGACTGCGATCGTAATAGCAAGTTGGGTCCTCATTATCACCGTCGTCGTCGTCGGTCGTGGTCGTTACATATGTTGATATTGTCTTCGTCATTTGTCGTCGTCCTCCTCCTCCTCGCTATTGTTACTCTTGTGGTCCCCCTGCTCCTCCGCCTCCTCCACCTCCCCCTCCTTGGCGCTGCTTTTGTCACTTCCGCTGTTGCTCTCTGAAGTACACGTACCCGTAGTAGAAAGCTACACGGGGGTCACACGGCAATCTTGACAAACACCAAATGTGTTATTCTTGGCGTTGCTCTGGATATGGGCTTCAGAATGTCGACTATTACTTGAAGGGTATAGGCCATTCGGATCCATCACTTGCAATGCAGAGTCTATAGGCATAGTAGTGCACGTCAGGTGAAGCGTTAAGGATGTGCATGAAAGGCTTTGCGGCTTAGTCTTTGCACAACAGCCGGTCCACAAAGCTGGAATCGTTCAGCAGCTGCTGCGCAAGGCCTGAAAGGGCATGAACTTCATGCCATCTAGGTACTCCAAGAGCTTCACCCAACGAGTCGAGTGCCGGACACAGAGCGGAAGAGGAAGAGCCACCACCTCGCGCAGCAGCTCTCACTCTGAATCCATACCTCTCATTTATGCTCAATCGCTTCACCTATCCATCAGAGCAATTCTTGTCCGTAAGAAGTCGCACTAATCCTCAACTTTTGCGAGCCAAAGAGCCTTTGTCAATGGCTTCTGCCTCGCTGTCCAATCCTCCTAAGAGGCCACGAACCTCAAGGACACTGGCAGATGGACAGGTCCGCTCCCGATGACTTCCGTGGACAGGTACTTGCTTGCCAGAGCTACACCTGAGAGTTTGTACTTGTCGAGTAAAGCCCGAAATGTTTACCATTTTTTTGCAAATTGCCTCATTGTGTACAGATGTATATATACTAGCCGAGGGCAGGGCCGTGTGCCACAACAGGCCAAGCGCCTGGGAAGGCAAATTGCATGAAATCCAAAGCGTATATCGGATGCAAAATGCGGTTGCCTAGACTCGAAGAAGCACGGTGCATGACGGTTCAGGCGGGTCAGGGGCCAACTGAGCGCAATCCTGAGGCGAAGGCCTCTTTGTGCCCACCTGCGACAACGGCGGCAGGAACGAAACCGGCCCTGCACTGCTACATTGGGGGGTTTGTTGCTGGCCTGGGTTTGCGACCTGGGGGGAAACCTAACCCAAGGCTTTCTAGGCCCAGGACGCATGATGATGATGATGATGACGAAAGTAATGATGGTGGTGGTGATGATGACGCTGTGAATGGTGATGATTATATTGGTGAAATAATCATAACCAGGACGGTGATAATAGGAGATGGTACAAGAGCTGGTACAAGTGATGATGAAGACGACGACGATGACGATGCTGCTGATGATGGTCGTGATGATCGTGATGAACAATCTGGTGATGATGGTTCTTCCTGCCCCATGGTGACTCAAGCTGACCCTCAATGGCCAGGATGGAAATGATGCTGATATTTCTGACAACTATGATGATAGTGACGGCGTGAAGAAGATGAGGGTGATGATCTCTGGTGATCCGACACCTCATCCCGCTCCTGCCCCCGCTACTGCTGCATCGCTGCCGACACTCGGTCTTGTTTTACTACTTATAGCGCTTTAAGCACAAGACTGTTCCTCCGCCGAGTCACAGAGTCTGGAGGTGATGAGTCCAAACGTTGTCGCAGCTGCTTCCTGCGACCTCTCGGGTGAAGAATCCCAAAGCCTACCCCAAATTGCATCCCAACAAACTTTCCAAAATGCATCTCCAATTGAAACCCCCAACCCCCAGCCATGCAAGCTGAGCCATGGAAACAAACTCCCGTCCGTCCGAACCAGGGACTCCCAAGAGGAAAGGAAAATGAAGACTGTGGGCTTTCAAGGGCTTACGGGGGCTGCATGATGCTGGAAGTAAAGCACGATTGCACAAGTACAGTGATGTTAGGCTTTTCGAGATCAGTGGTACGATCTGCATCCCAGAGGCGTAATAGAGTCTTGGAGTTATGACCAATTCTTCTGTCGTTCTTTCACTTGCACAGAGACGAACAGAACTTGGCAACGCAGTTGCAAACATCTGCTCTTCTCACGGCATCCAGATTGATGTTGGTTTGACGCCGGCCTGAAACACGAACTTGCTTCAAAGCACGTACCCACAAGTCTAGAATCCGGCAACACCCTGCAGAATGCTGGGCGCCCAACCCGAGAGCTTCACCGTCTTTCTGCGGGCACAAGGCGCCCCAGCCCGGCACAGCAGCGACGGCCTTGAAGTTCGGCTTCAGGGATTGGGACGTGGGCTGCTTGGACTTCTAGGGCTACTTGTACTCGGGGTCATGCTAGTTTGGGAGCTTGGGGCGGTCACGGCTTGCAGAGGTGCTGCTGAAATATTGACTAGGTAGTCTTGGAATTAATAGCCTCAGCGGCAGTGGTAGCGGTCGCATTAGCAATGGTCGTCATCTGTGCCCGGTGAGATGCAAGCTGACAGTCATGAGTGCATCTTGGATGTTATTTCACGCACTACTTCTTTCCGTAGTTCCTGAGTTGTCCGCTGTTCGCATCTCTTCGGCAAGAAGTCTGCGGAGGCCTCCCCTGTCGCTTCGAAGGTCCGAGCCCCAAGCCGTCAGGAAGCTGTGCAGGCGCGCTGCGGGCACGCTGGCTACGGCACGGAAAATCTCGGCCTCGAGAGAAGCACCAGAAAGGCCAACGAATAAGACTCGTCATGTCCCCTTCAACGATCACCAGACCGGTGATTTCCAGTTTTGTTGGTACAATGGGTGATGGGTGATGCCATGCTCCACAGCCGATTCAAAGGCTCTGTAGTCTGGGCTGTCGACGAAAGAACCTCCCGACAGCTGGCAGCTGGGGAATAGGGCTCCTTAAAGAGCTCTACTTGAAGGGTTTGTACAGGGTCTTATATAGGGGCCTTAATTGGGCTTTGGGGAATGTTATAGCATAGCAAAACAGCCAATATGGGGATTTCATGTCCAATGATCCTAACTTCTGTATTCATCTCCTTAGTCTTCAAGCTTTCAAAACTAGCGGCTAGCGAATCTCAGCTCCAAGGAAGATCGCTCCGGACGACCACAGCTCCGAGGACCCAGGATTAAGGAATTTGGAACCCCGAACTCCCAGAATAAAGCCAGGTGCTCAACACCATGATTCGTCTACGTGAATCATAGCTTCCACTTCGCTCTGCACGGTGCGAGTAAGTCGTGATTTGGCCCGCATCTGAAACGCGAGGCTTCCTACTGTAAGTTGTGGACCATGGATGCCGTGAGAAGGACCTACTACTGACGACGCGAAGAGGAACAGTGGCCTGCAAACCTGCAGAGAGCGGAGATTCGACGGAATTGAAGCTTGGCAGTCAAAGTACGCAGTTGATCGTGCTTCTCATTTCGGGATAGAGGTTGGGGCTGCGCGAGATAAATATATAGTTCGGATCTCCGCTACATACTTGATTCGCGACCTGGCGCTACGATTGCCGTCCCACCTGAAGTCCACAGGCTGGAGAAAAAGATGGCTGCCCAGTCGCGGGCCTGCGGGTTCCAAGTTCCAGCTTTTGGGTTTGGGGCTTGATCAAGCTCAGTTCAGTCGTGTAACACTCTGCTTGTGGAGTTCACAAGTCAACCAACATCTCACAACATTCTCCGACCGACGGAGACATTAGGGTTTAGGAATTCGGGTTTAGGATTTGGGGTGTTGGGGTTTAGCAGATTGCATGGCTTTCATGCGCTGAGAGCATTGGCTGGAAGATCTACGGCTGGCGGAGAAAAGGTACGAAAGGGGCCTTAACAATGGGAATGTGATTTTGGGGCCCATTCTACTATACTTATGATAAGGAACCCCTAAGATAGTATTGGTAATTCTTTAGGACTTAGGCCCTTATAGTATGACGGAATGGAAGGGAAAGAAGAGTGCTGGGCGACGGCGCAAATATACTATGCCCGGCATTTCGGGCTCCTGCTGTCTTACTACTCGCACCTATGAAAAATCACCCCGGAGTAGAATAGGCTTACTACAAGACCCCTGCAGTTCCGCTTTGTCTGCTGATGACTGGGATGTCAACATACTCATCGGTGAGTCTCAGTTGGCCCAGCCCTCTTTGCGAAGCAATATGCCTGAAGGTAGATTTCTCATTGCTTCGGGGGGCAGGTCTACGCCAGGGTGAGCGCTTGGGGAGCTTTCAACACCACCAACATGCTTCACCCTGCAACGCTCCCTATTACATAATTCTGGTGGGTTTGCAGCATATACTGTTCCTATGGGCAAAAAAGTATGTAATGCTGTGTATGTATGTATGCTAGATGTGCACATGTTTTGCGAAGTCTTTCATAACTACACGCATCCATTGGGAGCGTCGAGTCTCCTCCGTGAGCACGGAGGGCCAGGCCTTGGCGGCCACGGCCGGGCTCAGGTCGTCGGCATCCACCTTGGAGGAGGAAGCGTGCCTTTAGCTCTCAGAGATCCGAAGGGTGAACTAGATAAATAGAATATATATATATATATAATGCAGACAGATAGATGGATGGACGCATGGACAGCTTGATGGATAGATACTGGTTTTCGTGTTCTAGTGCAACAGACAAAGTTGCAAATGTTGGTGACCTGGCGGTCGGCACGTCAACAATCCAAGCACAAATAGATTGTACGGGCTCCACCGCTCCAAGTATGTAGGTGCATAGTGCCACAGAAACGCCTGGCTAGGAATTGCTTTGGGATTTGTACTCCAGGAAGGCTTGATTCGGGTGCAGAACTTCGTGTGCAATTGTAGATTGGTCGTTCTTGCGATTTCGGCTCCTTCTGCATCGAGGGTTGGTTCATGCCAACACACCAAACTCACCAAACCACGGAAAGGACACAATACTTTTGCCAGCACGAAGCTGGGCTCCTGATTTCTTCCAGGACCGACGTCTCCCACCAGGTTTACAGTGAGAAGCCAGTCAGATGAAGGAGAGTGTAAGTTCATGCACTCGAATTCTCTTTGGAGTTGTAGACTCGCCAGCGGGCACTTCAAGCTGCAGCAGTGAAGCTGAAGAAAGAATTTCGACAAAGGGGGCACTTGCTCCGACTTTGGGACTCACTTGACAGGATCTGGTCGATGCACGCGCTGTGATAGATGTGACTGCATTGCAGAACCGTCTGCGCCCTACCCTCCGAATCCAAAGCCTCCAGGCAGATGGCACAGGAATCTTTGCTGTATTCCCCTTTCAGAGCAGCACGGTATTGCCGTGCCTTCTCTGGCAGTTGGAGGACATTCTCACAAAGGTTTGCCAGGTTCGTAAGGATATTTACTTCCACACGGCGGTCGCCGATTCTTCGGGTGAGCACCAAGGCATTTTCGTACTCTTTCTTCGCTTCCTGGTACTTTCCATCGGCACAGAGTGCTGACGCGAAGTTCGCAATCAAAGTCACAATGGCGTGGGGGTTTGAACCTTCCTGCTGGAGTTTAATGGCTTTCTTGAAGTGGTCCAAGGACTCCGGCCGGCGTCCCTCCATCTGGCCCAGGCACATGCCTAGGTTTCCTTCGGCAATGCCCTGCTCATGGACCGTCAGCACGCGCTGTGCCAGCATCAGAGACTGCTGATAAAGATGCTCCGCGATGTCAAGGTCTCCGGCTTTTATGGCATGCGAGCCCATGCCTGTCAACACGTTGAAGGACCTTGACTCCGAATAGACACTGAAGCTGCTCGGACAACTACTACTGGTCTTGCCATGTCTTGTAGGGACGTACGCGTGTTCGCAAGTAACTGGAAAATACAACGTCGATTTCTATCGTCTGGAAAATCCCCGTAGCAACAACGACCGCTGCAGACACCAATGGCGCAACTCCTTCTCTAGGACGACGACGACGACGACGTGACTACGACGACTACGACGACGTGGAACGACGACGACTACGATTACGATTACGAATACTACGACTACAACGACGACTTCTACTTCTACTTCTTCTTCTACTACTACTACTACGACTACTATTACGACTACTACTACTACTACTACTACTACTACTACTACTACTACTACTACTACTACTACTACTACTACTACTACTACTACTACTACTACCACGACTACTACTACGACTACCACTACGACTACTACTACGACTACTACTACGACTACTACTACGACTACTACTACCACTACTACCACCACTACTACTACTACTACTACTACTACTACTACTACTACTACGACTACTACTACCACTACCACTACCACAACCACTACCACTCCCACTCCCACTCCCACTCCCACTCCCACTCCCACTCTGACTCCTACTCCTACTCCTACTCCTACTCCTACACCTACTCCTACTCCTACTACTACCCCTAATCCTACACTTACTACTACTACTACTACTACTACTACTACTACTGCTACTACTCATACTGCTACCGCTACTGCTAGTGCTACTGCTACTAGTGAGACTACGACTGGAACTAACTACAACTGAGCCTTTTGATGCCAGAGCACAGCTCCATATCATCGTGTTGATGTGCCTTCCGCATGGCCTGCTGATATGCCGCGTCAATTTCCTCAACATCGCAGAGCCGACCGCAAACATGATGCAGGCTGCTCTACCATGACATACTTTGATCACAGGCATGGGGTGCTCATGGCGACCGTGGTGGTGCTTGCGATGGTGGTGGTCCTGTTCTCGCCTATGCTGGTGAAGGTTGCGGTGGTGGTTGTTGAGTGGTGGTTGTTGCGGTAGTGGTGGTGGCGGTGGCGGCGGTGGCGGTGGTGGCGGTGGTGGCGGTGGTGGCGGTGGTGGCGGTGGTGGCGGTGGTGGCGGTGGTGGCGGTGGTGGCGGTGGTGGCGGTGGTGCTGCTGCTGCTACCACGACTGCTGCTGCTGCTGCTGTGTAGGTGCTGGCGCGTGTGTGGGTGGTCTCTTTTTGATAAGTGTGGTCCTGGTTGTGCCGAGTGTGTTTGCGATGACCATGGAGAAGAGGATCAGGATGATGGTCATGGTCAAGAACATGATGATGATGGTGATGTCCATGAACATCATGGCCATGGTGCCAATCACCAGGCTGATGAGCGAAAGATAGCGAAAGAAAACAGTGCCGAGTCTGAAATTCCCGAATCAAGCGTCGGCTTCCGGAGCGTCCAACTTATCCAAAGCATTCGCAAGGAGGCGGCTTGCTTGACCTTCTTCTCTGCCAAGTCCGGCAGCTCGTGCTGTGTCGCGCATTCGCTCAAACGAGGCTTTCGCTTCGCGAAAGGAGCAATTGTGGAATGCCGCGACTCCAGCCTGTTGGGCATCTTTTCTCACAGCGGTGGGAAGAATACGGTGCTGGATGCTGAGCCACTTCGTGAAAAGTTCTTGAAGAAATCCCTACCCTGTAAACCCCGAAACCCCCATCCACGCCCTCAAGCATCCTCAAAATGCCCTGCCCCAAAGACACAGGAGAGCTTCTTGGATCAAAACGCTTCTGAGCGCCTCCTGTGCTCGAGCTATCTCCTTCACCTTGGCATTTCGCTGATCATATGCATATGTCACGCAATACGGTGCAAACGCGGCTTGAGGGTTTAGAGAGTTTAAAGATGATACTTGCGGACTGCAAGCAAACCACAGAGACTTCTGTCGAACTGTATAGTTTGTCGACATCGTGACTATCACCATCACCACCATCACCACCATCACCACTATTACCACAAGCACCACCAGTGCAAGCGGCACCAGCAAGAACGCTGTGTCTGCCTTTGGCCGTGGAGATCTTGCGTTCACAATCAGGATCGCAACATGATCACGTCGATGAACAGGCTCAGCATCACCACCACCACCACCACCGCCACCATCAACGCCGCCACAATCATCATCGTAGTCGTACAGTTACCACACAATACCACGCATGTTCCCTGTCAAATTAGTAGCTGTTCTCCATGCATGGTTGCTGATACAGTACGTGTGCCCCTGCCATCTTCTAGCCCGACTTGTCACAACCAGTAGCGTCACTAGACACGTCTCCTCGAATCAACCGGAGACCCAAAGCCGGGTGGCAGCTGCCGAGGTGGAGTCCTCTGCAGCGGCCGTGGCTGTGGCCACAGCGGTTGCAGCGGAAGAGGTGGCCTTGCCTTCCTTCTGCGGCTCCGGCACAGCCACAGTCGAAGCAGAGGCAGAAGAGGCAGCAGATGCGGAAGGCGCGGTGGCTTCCGAGTCTGCCTTCTTGTTTTGCTTCTTCGCCGGCTTGTTCAAAAAACCACGCGCCATTCCGGTAGCTTTGGCCGCCTTCTTGGCAGCTGCTTGGCTTGGTTTGGCTGTGGCCTTGGCTTGCGCTGCCGATGCCTCCGATGCCTCTGATGCCTCTGGCAGCTGCTCAGCTGGACCTGCACTGGAGCTCGCAGCTGGGAAAGGTCTGGCATCGGGAGCCTGCACGGCATCCGCGGCGCCAGCCGCTGCGATCCCTTCCCTGCGGATCTCCGGCAGGGTCTGGGTCTGGGGCCCCTCCGCCACCGGAGCAGGACGCTCAGGCGTGGCCTCGCGAGCTTGGGATCCACGAGGCTGTGCTTCTCGAGGCGCCTCTTCTCTTGCACGGACTTCTGAAGGTCGGGAGTCACCAGGCGGTTCGTCTCGAGCAGGGGCTTCGTGATCGGGGACTTGGCGAGCTTGGGCTTCCCGAGGCTGTTCTTCTCGAAGTGGGCCGTCGCGACTCGGAGCTTCGCGATGCGGGGCTTCAAGAAAAGGGACTCCCGAACGGTCCAGGCTCCTCGGACCCTGTCTCCGAAGCTTCAAGACGCGCTTGGCTAGCCAAGCCAGACCCGCAGCAAGGCCGGCAAGGCTGACAAGGCCAAGAGCCCACGAAGGCCACGAGGACCGCCATTTTCCAGCCACCATTTGAAGGAAACAAGATGTTGCTGTTTAAACCTGTTTTGCGATGTGCTTCGGCTGCATCTGCGATGCTGGGTTGATTCTCATGTATCTTTCGGCAGCATCCAAGTGCACAGCTCAAAGACTTGACAGGCTGCAGACACACAGCCATTCGATTAATTTGCCAGCCTGTTGGAGCTAACTGGAATCCACCGAGTCGAGGGCGGCTCGGAGAAGGCTCAGAGCCATGTACAACCTCAGCTCTTTTGGATGGCTCTGGACTTACTCTGCGTCTGAAAAAGAAGCGCCTCAGCAGACTTTCGTAGTTGCGGGTTCAACCAGACCAAGTGTGGACGTCATAGCAAGAACTGCAACCAGCACGTGGAGACAGTGATGTTTTGTATTGTCATAGAGACAAAGAGGATGCCCAGCATACGGCCTCATCATCTTCATCATGGTTATCAGCGTCTTCACTATCACCACCACGTAGCAGTAGTTGAGTCTTGTTATGAGACACTACTTGATCGTAATTGCTGCAACTGGTGCTCGCGCTATGCTTGGGTCGCAGTGAGATTCAAGGCAGAACTCAGACCATGGCGATTGACAGTGTCAGCACCCGACCGCACAGGCATTCTGTCAGTCAATGTATGCGACTGTGTGATGGTCATGCTGACTACCATGCTGATGCCTGCTGAATGTACCAACGTAGGCATAAAATCTCAAGTTCAACTGCGCCCCGCCCGTTGCACGGCTAGTCTTTTCTTCCTCCCTCAACAATTTAGAAATCGCGGCTTACTCCAAGCCTAACAATGTGCTACAAACATCGGCCGCCCAAATGCCACCCGAAAACACTAAACTCTTGGCTAGCGGCTAGCAGCACATACATAGGCTGAACTTGTAAATCCCACAACCCATCAATCTCGCACGTTTGAGCGTTTACACGCCCGCCCGACACCTACTCTGTACCAAAACCATCAAGCCAAGCCCTAAAACCTCAACACGAAAGCCCAAGAGCCCACCCACTCACAGCCCAGTCACACGCAGGGCTCTTCAACGAAGCGCTCGACAGAGGCAAGCCCCTTGCATCCTCCAACGACGACCCGAGAAGCTCTAAACTGCTGAGACTCAACCAATCAAGTCAAGGTAGCAATGCAAATAGTACTTAGCACTTGGTGCGCGGGGCACCTCTACGCAATCGAAGCTGTCACAGAAGCTGCAGCCACAGCAGCGCATGTATCTGGAACGAACCTCCCGCCTGCATCGTCTGCTGCAAACAGGTTCTGCAGCAGAAGAAAGCCGTGATCCGGTCGTCGCCAGCCTGAGTCTCTGCAGGGCCACGACGAGGTCATGCATGATGACAATAGCAGTAGTGATACTGGTACTGATAAGTATAACTTACTTGTAATATTAAAAGCAACACCGGCAGCCCAGCTCAGGGCCCTGCAAAGAGCTAGTAGCGCGGCCAGGCCATAGGGAAACAGCGCCGAGAGCGCCTGTTGCGAGAAAGAGATGCTTGGTAAAACATGTCCAAACCAGTGCCGAGCTCGCGCGTCTGATTCTTGCGAAAACCCTAAACCTGAACCCTGAAGCCCTGAAGCCCCAACCCGTAAACCTTAAAGACTTAAACCTCAAACCTTTTAACCCTAAATCCTACACCCCTAAACGCTACAAAGCTTAAACCCTCAAAACCCAAAAGCCTTTAAACCGTCTACTCATCTTCCACAGCTCGCTGAGACAAAGCGGAACACCCCAACCTCGGCGCGAAGCTCGGGATTGCCAGCCACGGCGTTTGCCACAAAGCTCGGCCTCATGAAAAGGGGATTTCTGGGGTTAAGAATTTAGGGTTTAGGGAAGGTTTAGGATCTAGGATTTAGGGTTTAGGGTCTAGGGTTTGGGGTGTACGGTTAAGCCCCATGAAACGGGGGTTTCTAGGGTTTAGGATTTAGGTCTGGAGTCGTCTACAAGGGTGTTTGTGATTTCTAGAAAAGGTGATCTACACGAACAGTCAGCCAAAGGATGCATATCCCTCAACTTCAATCCCAAACTCTATGCTATCCTAAGCTCCCACACCCTGCACTCTGAACCGTGAACCCTCTGAAGGGCTTCAGCCTCCGAGATGGAGATGGCTAGGACTTGAGGATGTAAGGCTTTTGAAGGCTTTAGGCAAGGCTTCAGGGCGCTTTGTCCTGATTTTTGGCACCATTCTTCGCCGCTCTCTCGGGTACTTGGAGGATCATGGGACTTATTAGGGTGATAAGTACCTTAATTTAAGTTATATGTAGATATACCTATAGTCACCTTACTTCTAACTTACAAACCCTGCTGAGTCCCATGAGCCTCCAAGTAGGGTTCCGGGTGCAGCATGCCAGGGGCCCCACACAGCCTCGCACCATGCCGGCGAGCGCTCGCCACCTGAAAAGGGTTTCATGGTGGTACGCTAAGGTGGATGGTTTGGGTTCAAAGTTCAAAGTGTAGTAGTGTAAGTCGCACGGTCTAGGGCTGAGGAACTAAAGGCTCCGTTTAAAGGAGACTCGGGATTCTTCCGAAAACTGACACTCTCTAGCCTCCTAGATGACAAAGGTGAGAACTATCGAGTCGGTGTGCCGAATTATTGCATCCATTTCGACTGCTTCACTCCACCCGAATTCCACAACAGTGCCGCTCATTCAATTTGTTTGGGGCTTGGATGCTTCCTAAAGTATTCATGACAGACTGCTGTAATACTATTCAAGTGACTACTGCTATTGGCAATGCCCAAATCGTTGCCATCACGATTACTGGTATTTCAGTCACCACCAGTATCAACACTACCTCCACTATGTCATGGATTGTCCTCACCAGACAATCACACGAGCCTGGAGAGGCCACGTCACTGCGTGCCTGCAGCTCCAGCTGCGGCAGTTGCGGTTGCGCTATAGTCTATAGTCCTCTTGCTACAAAAGCATGTGCAAACTCGTATGAAGCCTTGCCTTTCTCGTGAGCAGTTTAAGCCGTGACACGATATTTACTTTGATCTATGGTCGCTGACGCTGACCACGAATGTGCATGCCTGCGGTCTACGACTACGACATCTCGCAGTACTAGGGGTACCGCTACTCTATGTCTTTATCGTTCGTGATCTTGGTCGTCGCTGTTGTATGCCGGGGTCGCGCCCCTAGCTGTCGGAATTATGGTGGCAGTAGGACAAACGAACAAGGATGCAAACAGACAGATAGACGGATACACAAATGGAGATATGGAGAGATGGATAGACAGATAGACGGATGGAACAGATGGATAGATGGACAGATGGATCGATGGATCGATGGACAGATAGATAGAGAGAGAGAGAGAGAGAGGGAGAGAGAAAGAGAGAGAGAGAGAGAGAAAAACAAAAAATGTTCGCAGGAAGAGAGAGCTCCACTGAGCGGTTACATGGAGACATCTGAACCCTAAACCCTAAACCCTAAACTATCAACATCTGAGTAGACGGCCTGGACAGCGAGGCGCTCAATCAGGCCGCGTCTCCACCAGCGGCCCTGGTTGGTGACAAGTGAGGTCCCCTGACCCTCCACGTGTTTCCGAGTTGAGTCTTTAGGATTTTGGGTTTGGCATTCCGGGTTCAGGGTCTGGGGTGTAGCGGTAGCGAGTCAAGGACATGGAATTCAGGGATATTAAGGGTTTTCGGATTTCAAGTTCCAGGGGGTATTCTTCAGTTGTGAACACCTTCCTTTCTGCTTTTGCTATCCCATCAACTTGTGCCTGCATGTCGGGCCGACCAGCTGACAAGTTCCGGGCCTCAGCAGACATCCAACACTGAACATTTCTGTCGGTCTAGGGTTTAGGGTTGACGGGAGATGGGACTCTGAGCACGCTGCGAGCTTCAAGCATGCGGCTCCTGCGGCCTCGTGCTGGGCCACTTTCTCAGGCCTCGGTGATCGGTGCTTGGAGGATCATGGGACTTAGTAAGTAGGGTTACACGTACCCTAATTAAGGTTTAGGTAGATATATACAACTATACTTACTTTACTTATAACGTCTTATAACCCTGCTTACTAAGTCCCTTGATCCCTTAAGTGAATGGGAGGCGCCCCCAACTCTCACATCTGGCAGCAACTATTGCAGCCCAGCTGCGGCTGGGCTTCTGGGCCATTCTCTCCTGCCCCATGTTGGCGACATACGCAAAAAACGACAAAGAGGGGCCCTGCGACTCAAGAGCAGTCGTAGACTGAAACCGGCCCCCTGGGGCCGCAGCCGAATCCGGCCAAGACTGCCAGCTGCTTCTCCAACCTTGGACTGACTTTCCAGTGCTTCCCTGCTTTCTGGGCTCTACAGTAATGCCCTCCGAGCATGACGGCCCTGAACCCCAAAAGCACCTCAAACCCTTGCCCTACAGAAAAAGAACGCTGATGACCCTAGACATCCCCCACAGCTTCGTCAGACCGAAAACAAGGAAGCCAAGCCGCAAGCCCAAACCTTGAACTTGCACCCATGACTCTAAACCTCGAGCCTCAACACAAACCTTAAGCCTGCACCCAAAACTATTGAGACTCCGAACCCTGGACCAAGAAAGGCCCAGGAAGGTGCACGGAACCCTGCCTGAGGGACCAACACAAAGGCCTAGCCCTAGAATGCCGCGTGGAATCCCCACCGCACAAAACCAAACATAAACAAAAATCAACCAAGATGCAAATCCTAAGCCCTGCAACACAAAAACTTGTTTAGCAATATCGCAGGACTTCCTGCAAAAAGCACAAAATCAAAACCAAAACTTAAACCAACAAATGAAAACACCAGCAAAAGAAAAAGCTCCCGAGGCTCTGGCAGCTCTTCAAGGCTCTGGAGCAACGACTCGTCCTCCGCCAGGAGCTCCCGCTCCTCGCGAAAAGGGCACCCGGGGGAGTGAACGGAGGGCGCCTCAATATGATTGTAGAATCAGGCTTCCTTATGGGGCCAATTCCTTCATATGTCAGAAGAATAAGACTTCTTTAAGGGGTCCTTAAAGGGATCTGTAAGGGTTCCTTCAAGGGATCTACAAGGGCTCTTAAAGGGGCTCCTTTCGACGGCTCTACATGGGTTGCTGTGGTGGTTTCTTGGGTACCAAGTAGCAAACTGAGGTTTTGGGGTTTTAAGGGTCTTAGGGTTGAGGATTTAGGGCTTTGAGGCTTGATGGTCTCTGAGCTTGGTGGCTTTGGAGTTTAGTGGCACAGGTGTCTGGGGTTGTAGGGCTTGGAGAGTAGGTTTTGGAGCTTTGGGCTCAGAGCTCTGGAGGTTTGCGGTCACCCTTGGGGTTTTCGAGCGTGGGGTTGAGAGTATAGTACAGTGGTGGCAGCAGCAGCAGCGGCAGCAGCAGCAGTGGCAGCGCTAGAAGTAGCAGTAGTAGTCGTCGTCGTCGAGTGGTAGTGGTAGTGGTAGCGCTAGTAGGCCATTGCTAGTGGCAGTGGTAGCGGTAGTGGTATGGTGGTATAGTGCTAGGGCTATAGTGGTAGTAGCCGCCGTCAGTAGCAGATGCAGCTGCAGCAGCAGCAGTCAGAGGCTCACATGGTTGTCAACCTTGATCAGCACAAACACCATCGCACATCACAGCTCTTTTCCCCCTTCGCCAGGAGCTTAGTTGGCCTCGCGCTCAATCCTTGGATTCCATCGTCGAAAGCCGGAAAATGAGCCCGCACAGGAAGCCAGCCAGCATTAATCTTTGCCCAAGTCGCAAGTCAGGGAACATCTCTTCCTGGACCTGCTTCCTCGCGGCCTCCACGGTCGCGTACTGCTCGCCTGGGGATGCAAGCGATGCTTCAGGGCATGCTGTAGGGTTGGTTGAGCGTGTGGATTTTTAGGCTCAAGCTGTCGGGCCGGGTGTATAGGGTTTAAGGTTTACTGCGCAAGGTTCAGCGCTTAAGGTGCAGGGCTGAAGGTGTAGATATAAGTGTAGACTTGGATGAAAGCGCTCGAAATGCATCGTCCTCGGGCTTCGCTGAGCCCCACGCGTTCCGAGTCCAGGATGACGCGGTCGAAGCGGATGTGAGTGCGGTTCCGGAAGTCGGAGTTGTCGGACTCGATGTTCACCTCCCCAGACCCAGGAGCCCCAGACACCCAAAAGTGCGACTTTACCAGGTGCTAAAAAAAACGGATACTCCACAACGGAAGAGGCAGAGCAACAACCCAAAATAGAATCGAAAGCCTTCGAGTTCGCCCAGCCTTGATGTGCGCGAAGATGTCGATTCGAAGACCTGCCTTTCGCCCAGGCCAAACGGATACTACATATCTATATATCTATATACCTATATACCTATATATCTATATATCTATTTATCTCAAATGTGTGGCACAAGGTTTTCCGGTTTGGGGCCTGGGGTATTGGGATGGGACTCCGGAGGTGCAGGCTGTAGAGTTCAGATCTTCGATGAGGGCCGGGCTTCGAGATCAAGCTCAACCCCAAAAAGCCAGTGCGCCTCCATAGCCCGAGCCCATGAAAACCCCCTAAAGCACCAACCCGACCCCTCAAACCAGTTCTAGATTCTCCTAAACTGTCAACCCTTGAAACCCTCTAAACCCTTTAAACCCTTCAAACTCTTCAAAGCCTTTAAACCCCTTTTAAACCCTTTAAACCCTTCAAACCCCAAAACCCTAACTCCAAAGACTCTTCTCTCTCTCAGCTCCCGGCCTGGCTCTTGCTCAGGATGCACTGCTCCTCCTCGCGCACCTCCCACTCCTCCTCGACTTCAGCGCTTCGGGCACCAAAGCCGCAACTCAACCCACAAAAAAATGACGGTGAGCTCTATGCCCTTCAGATGCCAGACCCTCTAAACTCCCAAACTCTCGCATCATCATCATCATCATCATCATCGTCACCATCATGAGCATCATCGCGATGAGGGTATAGGCTCAAGGGTGTAACCTGAGGCGACGGAACGAAGGGGCTCCGAGGTCTCCCTGGCGGAGGATCTTCTGGCTCCAGGTTCGGAGTTCCAGGGTCTGCTGAGAGGGACCATCATATTCTACAATGTAGGGCCCAGGGTAGAGTTACATACAGAGCTTTGGCGAATTTCGGGTTCAGGGTTGCATCTAGAAGCTACCGGCGATGGCAGAGTTCGGATATGCCTCCGGCATGGCCACAACACCTTCGATGCCGTAGCGGGGAACATTGACCTGTGTTGCAAGACTTAGTCCTACCTGTGCTTTTTGGAAGTCTGAGTACGACTGCTTGTACTATGACCCATGCTGCTGCTCTCAGCGCTGCCAGGACTTTTTCCCGTGCGTTTCTGTTCCTGCGCTTTTTGTGGCTAGTGCTATACATACCATAAGTATCTACGATGCTTGCCAGTACTATCGCGATTGGATTAGAATTGCAGATGATTCTGACCGCACTTGCACTGCTGCCAGTACCAGAAGTCTCTCTGTTGCGGTTGCTCTGCATGACTCTCCGTGCTGCGTTAGTCTGGTTCTTGTATCTTGACTGAGGGTACTGCTGCCGCACTACCCTTGCGAGACTGCTGCCACCTGCCTCTTACTCGTCTTAATTACTATTTCTTTCATCGCACTATCATCCTATTTTCGCAGTCATGTCATCATGCAGGCAGACACTTTCCTTCAAGATCAAAGCTTGAGCGGCCTGCATCCCGGATCGACGTATTCGTGTGACCACAGCCTCTGCAGACTGCTGGCCCTGCCACGCGAATTTCGGAGTTAGGACAGAAGGGTATTGGGGCATATTGGGGTACCTGATGTAGGCAGGTTCAGGTGGGACAGAGAGCTGGGAATTGTTCAGGGATTCGGGGGCTGTCGGGTTTGGGATTTCGGGGAGCAGGACTGGTCTTTGAAGCACAAACCCACCCAAGAAACTCTGCCTCCCGTTTCGAAACCAGTCTCACGAAATCTGAGTTTCGGGACTCAGAGTTTGAGGTTCTGAACTCAACCCTTGAACTCCCATATACTGCATCAAGCTCCCTTTCATCTTCGTAGAGCCCCCCGCCTTCTTGTTGAAGAACCTCGGCAAGCTTTTCGGCTCAGAGCTCGGGATTCGCGGCTCTTTCCACACTATGGGAGTTTCCGAAAATTAGGGGACCCTAATATAGCACCCTAAAGAGTAGGATCCTTACTTTGAGGACCCCAAAATAAGGTACCCCCAATTTTCGGAAACTCCCCTATCTTTTCTCTGCGTACTCTCCTTGCAGGGCTAGGAGCATGAAAGTGTGCAGGTCCGCCGACGCTCGGCTGGCAAACTGCGACATGCGATGCTTCACCTCGGCTGCAAGGATGTACGCCAGAAGATGCTCGGCGGACACGAAGACATGCAACCAACCATACAAGTGCATCTGTGCCGCGTTGATCTTGTCGCACTGCTCGGAGATTGTTGCCTGCACCACAATCCAAGAACCTTTTTGCCCCAGAGCCTGAAGCCTCAAGCAACCCACGTCAGACCTTCGACTGCAGCTGCTCCGGTAAGGGTATCAGTCCCAGAGAGGCGGCCAGCAGCCGATGCGCCAAGACATCAGCGTAGCGACGGATCGGCGATGTGAAGTGCGTGTAGCCTGAGTACTGGGCAGCGTTTGGGAAGATTCTTTGCTTCGGCCATAGATTCACTACGCCATCTTCCCTCTGCACGGCGGACCACATGACGGGACGATGTAATGCACTCTCTTTTGAGCAGGCGTTCCGAGTTTCTTACCAGGTACCACACCTGTCCTCCGACTGTATACAGAACTGAACTCACTGGTAGGGCTAGTAACTCCTCCACGCCAGCATCCCCAAGTCTAGAGACCCACGCAACCTTCGAACCAACAAAACAGCATTATCCCCGACTAATCCCCAACTCACCCCAAAAAAGCCCGAAACCTAAAAAAACAAAGATGACAGACCCCACAACGCCGGGTTCGTTCGGTGCCAAAGGGCGCTCCATGGCCAGGCCGTAGTGGCTGTAGAGCGCCGGCTGCACTTCGCCGGTGCAGAAGTAGACGGCCTGGTTCATGCACCTTCGAGTGTGGGAGCGTTTCTTGTTTATCATGGGGGGCTGGAATTCTTTATCGCGTTTTGCATGCCGATCTTCGGCTTTGCGCGTGTTTGGGGCTCTAGGGGGCTCCAGTGCTTCATGGTTTGCGCATTTCAGATGCAGTGTCTCAGGCTGGCAGTGCAGGACGCTTGCTGAGACCCTTCTGAAGCCCCCTGCAATCGAGCTGTCGGATCTGCTACGGGCAGCGGAGTTTCAGGGCCAATGCTGTGCCCAAGGCCCTTCTTCTTACCTTTGGTTAGTAGGGAATGGAGGAATGGGGTACAATTATAACTACTATTACTACAATATTACTATCATATTACTATCATATAACTACCATATAACTACTATTACTACCATTCTTCCATTCCCTACTAACCAAAGGTAAGTCTTTAAGTCCAAACGGTCTGTCTGCTGCCGGTGTATTGCCGAGATTTGAGCCCCAAAGCCGGAAATGGAAGTTTCCGAAAATATGGGACCCTAATATAGTACCCTAAATAGTAGGATCCTTATTATAGGGACCCCAAAACAAGGTACCCCTACTTTTCGGAAACTCCCAAAGGGTCGAGTCAAGACCCGAGAGCCCAAAGCCCAAATCTGCAGAGTTCCGGCCTGGTGGTCATGATCCTGACCAAGGTATTGAAGAAGGGATCCTGCAGGGAGGCCCGGTTAGGGTTTAGGGTTGAGGGCCGTTTAGGGTTTAGGTCCCCTTTAGAAGGCTTAGGGATTGAGGAAAAAAGGGATGGAGGAGGAGTGCGTGGCTCTCGGCTTGGGGACCGCGGCTCCGAGCTTTTTAGCTTGAACCGCTCCTCCGGCTTCACGGCCTTCTGCAGGGAGTCGGAGAGCTCCTTCAGGCTCAAGGCTCACGGTTGAGCCTTCAGAGTGTAGGACGCAGGGATTAGGGGATTGCTTTGGGGAACCTAGAGACTCACAGGAACGACGTAAACCCTTCAGTGGCCTGACAGCTTCCAAAACCCGGGCTCCTTGTTACTGCCGAAGCTAAACTCGTGGATGCCGTTCTTTGCCAGCAACTTCTGCAGGACCTTCAGCTGGTCATCCTCCGCGCAAGCTGTGCCCAACTGGAGGACTGTGGGGGATTTGATCAGGAGAACCCATCTTATATCGGTGCTAAGCACATCAATGTTCAATATGGATGAATAGCGGCACGAGCAATAGTAATCGTCCGCAGTCGTTTTTGCAGTAGTGGCAGCAGCAGCAGCAGCAGCAGCAGCAGGCAGTGCAATAGTAGCGGTGATCATGGTGCCTGCGGTGGAGACAGCGGCAGTGGTGACGGCATTGCCAATGTGCGGTCGTGGTCATGGCCGTTGCCATGGCCACGGACTTCGTCGTGTCGTCGTGCTCATCATCGTTGGGTCGCTGGGTCATATATGACTGCATGACTTAGGCTTTAGCGCAGCGGCAATGATGAAGGATGAGACTTGCAAGACAGGAAGCCGAGGAACCCGAAACATCCCGAAATCTCGTTACTCTTCACGAACCTCGTGCCTTCGGCGGCGGATGCCTCCGAAGCACTCCGAACATGGGGAAGCTGTTCAGGATCTTCGTCGCCACAGCCTCACGGTCAGGGATCATGGCTGTGTGGCGGACGAGTGGCTTCACAATGTCTGAGTCCTAGTCCTAGTACGGAAAGCAAGCTGCGAGTACTGTACTCTCTTGTGAGAGATCATTCGTGCGCAATTCTCACGCAAGTTCCCCCAGCCTGGTTTCCCAACAGCATAAGCTCCTGCACTTTCTGTGTGTAGCAATGGTCGTGACATGTTCAAGCTCACATTGTTGCGATGTGTTCCGTGCTCTGCACGTCAGGCATCAGACGAACCCGAACAACGAACACTTTTCCAAGCGATCAGCGGGTCTAAGCGATGCTGAAGTTAAATGAGACTGCGGGTAATCTGCATCTTGCAGCCCAGCGCAAAGCCAAAACAGAAAACGAACTGCATCACGGCCTTCTGTACGCATGTCAAGACTCGTTGGCCAAAGGTCTGCTTTGGGATGCACCCGGTGAACGGATCTCGGCTGCCATCGTCATCGGGTTGCCACAGGTATTCTGCTCGAGCTGCGGCCTGTACCGCCGTCTCTCGCCCCAGGAGCTCCCGAATGATTACCAGAGACAGGTCCGTGCCTGCCGAGACCCCACTGGAGGTCCAAAACTTCCCGTCCGCGACCCAACGAGCCTCCGGCACCCAGTGGGCCGATGGCCCGAAGCGAGCCATCAGGTCGAAGGCGATTTTGTTCGTCGTGGCCTTTATGCCATCCAGCAAACCCTGTGAGGCCAGGATGGCGCTGCCCGTGCACACGGTCATCACCCGCTGCGATTTTCCCACCAGCTGCGTGATGGCCTTCTGGAAGAGCGGGTTGTGGACCTCCCGCAGCGTTCCGATGCCCCCCGGCAGGAGAAGCAAGTCGATCTCCTCCGGGAGCGGGCCCTCGAAGGATAGCTCGGAGGACGCCCCTTTGCTGACCACCTCGGCTTACTTACAAAGCATCAAAACGAAAGAAGCGAGGACAACGAGCGACTCAGGGCATCCGATGCTGCGCCGAGGCCCCAACCACGTCGGATTCGAAGACTGGGCCCCCGAAGGAGGAGGTCCTCTTGTCCTCCGAGACCAAGGTCAGCTTGAAGGCCGGGACCTCGCCCGCCGCCTCCAGGATCTTGTTGGTCATGGCGAACATCTCCAGGGGCCCAAAGGTGTCCAGCATCTCAAACCTTAGAAGCTCAGGAGACTTCATGGGAAAGGGAGGGGGTGCTCTGGTCTGGTGCTGTGGAAGGGCTCTTGGAATGAGGCGAGGGGCTGGTCGTAGACCACCAAAACCAGCGAGAGCGTTCGGCCGAAGGGGTTGCGCTGGGGCGTGGAGGGCGCTACGGTGGTGAAGGGGTCGTTCTCGGGATCGCTTTGGTGGACGTACTCCGCCAGCTTGCTGGTCTGCTTTGCCACTTTAGTGCCGAAAAGCTCTTCCACAAAGAAGTGCGTGAGATCAATGCCTGCAGCGACTCCGGAGGAGGTGTAAAACTTGCCGTCCACGCACCAGCGCGCCGAGCGCTTCCAGTGCACCTTGGGATGCGATTTCTGAATCTCCTCAAAGGCCATCTTGTTGGTGGTGGCCGACCTGCCATCCAGAAGCCCCGTGGCCGCCAGCAGCAGGGAGCCCGTGCAGACCGTCATGACTAGAGAGGCCTTCTCTGAAAGCTTTCCGAGCTTCGCAAGAAACTCGGCGTTCTTGGATAACCTGCGGGTCCCCATGCCTCCTGGAACAAAGAGCACATCGAACTTGCAGTCGGTCTCGTTGATGTTCATGTCCGTCAGGGTCAAGGGTCCGTCCTTCGGCCTCACAGCGCCGGAGGCCTCTGAAGAAATGAAGGACAGCTTCACCTTACCCCGGGAAGGTCCGCTCGGGAGAACCGAGCAGCCTGCCAGCAGCTCCAAAGGTCCATAGACGTCCAACATCTCGTAGTCATCGAAGAGCACAACGCCCACGTGTATGGCACCCTGCTTCAGCGTGGTCTGAAGGGTCTCCATGGCACACAAATCAAGGCGCCACTCCACCCTCCTCCTTACACCTACGGAACTGCTCCTATCAAGCATCCTTCCAGAAGTGTTGCAGCTCCTCCGTCCCCTTCGTGTCGCAGCCTTCTTGTATGCTTGCGGAAAGTACCGCATTTCTTGTCTCCAGTGCTCTCTTCACGCAGCTTGAGGCACACACAACAAGCACCCGCGCCACATCACCGACAATCCTGCCTACTATGATTATTTAGTCTCAGTACCATGATTGTCCGCGCCTATTTCCTGTTCTATCGTTCTCACATTTATCATTAGCACTCTGACCGCCGCTGCCTCTGTCACTACATTGCTTGAACTGATACTTTGAAGACTTTTACAAGTATCAGTATCCAAACAACGATCTGAAGAGTGTTCTTGATCCTGCTGTTACTTACCGTTACTTGTCATTACCAATATGCTGGTCGCTCGTGCGATGACAACAGTCTGACGATCCTCAATCAGCTTGTTCGTCTCGCGCTGCTGGTACTCTGCGACATCCGTAGGATCCTTGACAGGACCAGGTTCAAGGTGGGAGCGTGGGGCTTAGGGTGTGAGGCTGTCTTTCTCCTACCGCAGATCCTGCGTCTCGCTGTCCAGCTCAAAGCGCACCTGTGAACAGGCCGTGCTCCGTGGAAAACGTTTTCAGGTCTTTCAAGGGGTCGAGGGCTCAGCCGAAGCGTCGCAAAAGGCACAACATGGCACGACCAAACTGCGACCCTGAAGGCCACGTAAGAATAACGCGACGGCCCAAAGCGGACTATACCAATGAAACCTTATGCAATAGAAATAAACTCAAAGACGACAGCCGTGCTTTCCTTCTCTGGGCCCACCGAACCTGTAGTCTACTGGCCCACATAAAAGGGTCTCGAGCGGATACCGTGCCAGCAGCCAGGAGATGCAGGGTTTAGGGGTCTCAAACCCCTCCTTCATCCTGATCACGTCTCTCTAGATCAGCCCCTATGCACCCGTATTGAGCCTTTTAAAACAAAGACCGACTTCAGCACTTTCTAAGAACCGCAACCCTCTAAGATATTTTAAGCCCCTTATAAGCAGCAGTCTCCAACTTCGCCTCCTGGGAGGCCAACTCCAGGGCCCCGTTCTCCACCCGCCGGGCCCGGATCTGGCGCGTGAGCTTCAGCAGCGTCCTCCCCCACTCTGGGGTGCTTTTTTCGGAAAGAGCTTGGGGTCTCAGGCTTCTTTTTGGAGGGCCTCTTTCTAGACCGCAAAGGGGAACAGAGAGTCTCACTGAGGGTTTTAGGGTTTAGGGTTCAGGAGCTCCGGCTTCGCAGGATGGGAGAGGATGGCTTCGGGCCGCGGAGGCATGAATAGATTCGCGCGAAAGAAACAGGACGACCAATACCTCCATACACACCGCAGGTCCCTGGAATCGAACCCCGAATATGAGCTTAAAAGTACGAAGTGTTACTCAAGGGAGTTGGGCACTCTGAAGCTAAAGGCGACGGAAATCGACGGAAGCTCCTGAGGATCCTGGTGATCTCCGAGTTGTCCTGTGCAGGAAGCCGCAGGGCTTGGAGAGCAAACAGAGCTTCCACCACGGATTTCGCACTTCAGTCTCTGCTATCTTCGAGGGAACTCGGATGAAACATCTCCCCTCCCATCCGAAAGGGCCTTGGGGTCGTCGATCCTCCCCTGAGCCTCTGCGTAGGAAAGGGCCGCACGGGACTTGATGATGGCCTGCCCAGAGCTCTATTCTTCTTTAGAGCTTAGGGTAGTTTAGGGCTTGGGCTTCAGGGCCTCTCAGAGTGCTCTCGAAGGGCGGCATCCGAAGTTGAAACCCTGAAGGCAGAATCAAGTTTGAAATCTTCAGTCACCAATCCCCCCAAGCCCGGACCCTTAGGATATTTGATGTTCACCTTGTCCGAACTCAGGGGAGCTTGATGGTCGGGGAGGTGACGGTTTAGTGAAGAAGAAAATTCTAAGGATTTAGAATGGCTGGGTCTTTGATGTACAGACTGCAGAGCCGAACCCAAAGTGCTAAACTCTGAAGCCTGAAGACCTTGAAGCACTAAACCGCACAAAAAGCAGGCAGCAAAGCAGCAGAGGCCTTGCAGAACTTGGTGTCAACAACTTCTGCTTCTGGCGTCATCTCCCAGAGAACGGAGAAGGTGAGGCGCTCCACCTTGGGTGCAGCAGAAACAGGTCGTCAAGTTAATCAAGCTAGTCTTGAAAAACAAGCACCCTTGCCTGGGCCCGCAGAGAGCAGATGTCTGTGGTAAGCAAGCCTGAACGGGGTCCCCATATCCTACATTGGAGCGTCGCACCGGCAGTAACAGTAGCGAGCAATCTGACGGCCTGGCAGCATATCCGTGCGTCTTTCCACGAGGTAAACCTAGGCTGGCAGCAAGGTCGATATCCAAGTCTAGGGTAGTTGGCAGTATTTGGCATTAGTTGGGCGCTGTCTAGCTTAAGAGAACAGCGAAGAAGCTGTGGTGCACCTCTCTGCAGCCTCGTTGTCGATTGCAGTTCCGGGGTGCACAAAGTGCGTGACATCCGCGATGTGGACCCCAACCTGCGCGACGTCGGATTGGAGATCTTTTCTTGCTGCTGCATGTCGTGAACAAACGCAGGCAGGCACCCGATTGTCTGAGAGACCGGCACGGTAGTTGCCGTTTGGCAGAGGTTCGCAAGACACGGCATCATCGATGTCCTTGCCTCGGGCCAGACGTCTCTGGCTAAAAGCTCCGCTCGGATTCTGCAAGCCGCACCGACATGTCCTCACTCTAATGCCCGTAAGCCCTCAACCCTTCATCCCAAGGCCTCAATCCTTGGGAACCCTTTTTTAGGAACTCTTAAATGAACCCTTAAGTTTGTAGGAGGCCTGGTAGTACCCCGGAAGCCTGCGGCAGCCGAGACTCAACCGGGAGGGTCCACGGAGCAGACGCAGATACCTCGAAGATCTTCTCCTCGGCTTCCGGTCTTCTTCAAGGGGTACCCAGTGGGGGCGATTTCCTAAGGTACGCGACGTGGTTGGTCCCTGAGAACCCCAAAATCCCAGATCCAAAGCCGACCAAATTCAAACAATGCCATAATAGAACCTTCTCCTGAAACCCTAAAGTCTGCCAGCCGCCAAACCTGCGCCTCAAAATCTTCTCTACACTCTCTGCAAGCCTCCGAATCCCAAAACTCTGAGAAACCCGTTTAGCCCTTCAGAAATCTATGGAACTCCCCCCCCCCATAATTTAAGTACCAGCATAAGTTTAGGGTTTAGGGTACCCCCATATACAAATAGTAACACAAATAAAAGTACTGTTGATGATACAAATCTTTCATTACCTTAAGGACCCTAAACTCTGGGAATTATGGTATATTCCCTATTTTGGGTGATGTTGGATTTCTATCATCAACCGTAGCCATCCATCCAAGTTTAGGGTTTAAGCTATCCCAGTACAAGTAACACAAACGATAGGTAGCCATCCATCCGGCCGGGAATCGGCCTTTCAGGTCCTCGGGGCCTGGTTGCCAGTCGCCGGCAGGGAGGCACCGGTACACCGCCTCGCTGAACTCGCGGGTAATGACGCCATGCCTGGGCTGGGGTCTGGAGATGAGGGGCTTAAGAGACTTCCGAAGGATCACGGCTTAGGGTCTCTTTTAGTCGGCCCTTTTTCAATCCGAATGATACAAGAGTGGGAAAGGCCAGATTTGGTCTGGGGAAGGCTTACAGCGGGGTGAAGGCTTACAGCGGGTTCAGTGGTACTGAAAAAACGTATGGCACAGCACTTCCGCAGTGCCGCTTCGAACTCGCAGGTAGCTTTCGGGGATGATGTATGATGACGTGTCGGGACGGTATAATCCGGTTTGATCATCCCTCCTGCAAGCCCGAACATCCGGTAGTGACATCTACCCTGCTGTTCATCCTTTCGTTGCGGGTGTTCGTGCAAGAAATGGTGCTGTAGGGTTGATCTTGTTGCTGCTGCTGCTGCCGTTCTTGCTGCCTCCAGGGCCTCCATATTAAGATTTCCAAGGCCCGGGCTCGTGGAGGATCACCATGCTCTCGACGGATCTGTCCCCTACATCTCCCAGAATCTTGGTCCAGTGTCCTGACGGATGATGGCTGAAGCGGTCCCAGCCATCCAGCACGACAACGATGCGCTTGTTGTCCAAATTCACCGAGTGCCGGGTCTGAATCATGATATTGGGCAGCCTTGCATCGGCCGGGATGAAGACGCGATCGGACTTGTTGTAGCTCCCCGGCCCGTGCTCCTGCTGCCTCTCGGCATGCAAGGGCCTCAGGGTGCCGCAGTACTCGCGCCAGTTGCGCTTCAGGATCCCCACCACTCGACCCTTGGGCCGATCTGAGGACGTTTGGGTCCCTGCCGTTTGGGCCTTCTGGGCTTGCATCTCCTTGATCTCGTCGGCTGCAGACGGGGCCGAGCCCGAGACTCCGAAGTCCGGGTCCGCGACCTCCAAGCGGAGGCGCTTGTCAGCTCGCTCCAGCGCTTCGGCGCTCTCCACTTTCTCGACCACGACGACATCACCGTCGATGGCCCGGTTGAGCGCCAGACGACCCGAGACTTCCAGCTCTTCTCCGCTGCAAGTCACCGTGCCGTGCATGCAGGTGTTCATGTGCATCCGCAAGACGCCTTGAAAGAGACGCCTCTCCTTCAAGCCTCGCTCGACTTCGCTGGCCTTCAAATGGGCCGGGTATACCGAGCCATCCGTGGACTTCACCAAGGGCTCCCTACTCCGCTTCACGCCCCGGGGCCCCTGAGCCTGAGCCGGAGCGGACTCGTCCTCGTCATCACGAAGGGCCAACTTCTCCCCGGCTTCCGGGAACTTCCCCCGCATCCTCTCAACAAACTCAGCTGCCCGAAAGGCCACGAGACCATCTGAGACGGCTTTGGCTTTGCAGGCCCGATCATCGGTAAGCAGAAGCACCTCAGGACCCACAATGTGCCGCCTGTACCAGTGGGCCACACGACGGATCGCTCGATCGTTTCTGTCATTCTGAGACTCCTGCGGAGCACGTTCCACATAGGTCTCCCGGAAGAACTCGTTGGGAAACACGTAGAACTGGCGGGCATTTCTCGCCGAGGCCATCTCCTTGGCCTTCTCGCGATCTCCAACTCCTCTCCTCGCGTTGCTGGGAGGCGCGGGTTCTTCGTTCAGCTCGGCTTCGACCGCTTGGTCTTGCTTCGCATCACCCGTCTCGACGCGACAGAGAGCTCGAAGTCGGGCATAGATTCCCATGTTTCGGTGCCTGACCTCCTGCAGAACGGTGTATGGAACCACCACATGGTTCACACACTCATCCTCAGCGATGAGATCGATCTGATGCAATACGATGTTGGTGTCCAGAACCAGCACCTGATCTGCTCCTTCGAAGGGCTCCGGGACGATGTCGTCCCGCAGGTACACTTCACGAACCACCTTCCGGATCTTGTTTTGCCGCGTGCGCCGCAGCCAAGAGCTCAGCTGACGTGAGCTGGTAGGCACATCATCTGTGATGTCTGCCTCTGTGATGAGAGCATCCTCCATCACACTGCCCATGGCGGGCAGAATCCTTTCCTAGTCCGGCTATCTGTTAGACGAAACGGGATCTATGGTATGAACACCGCTTCAGTGGGAGTGCCTCCCAGGTCGTGTACCTGATTTTGCCCGGCTAAGATGCATAGCTGCCACTCATCTGGCTGGTGTCCATTTCAACATGAGTACTTAGCTCCGCTCTTGCAGCCTTTGCATGTGTGTGACTTCAGAACTTCCAAAATGCGGCACAGAGCTCGACACCGATCAATGATTACAAGCGTGTCCGCTTTCATGACAACCGCAACAGGATCAAGATATCAACTGTTCATCCTCCTGGTGTAGACTCCGGCGCACCAGCGCAGTCACTGCCTCGGTGACCTCCTGAGCAAGGCGGTGTTCCTAAGGAGCCACTAGATGTATCCACTCCGACTCCTTCGAGCGCAAACTGCAGCAGTCTAATGCTGCGCTTGTCCTCGGGGTTGTCCGAAGCAGGTATGCTGACCTTAGATCGCAGGATCCGAAAATATATATATATATATATATATATATATATATTATACATATACATATACATATACATATATATATATATATATATATATATATAGACCTCTGCTCCTCGTCCGCAGCTTGAGGGCCCGGCTGTGCCGTCCATGTCTATCCGCGCTATGCTGGCCGTGCTCTATGCCACTACAATCCGCCCTCCGAGTCTTTTTATGGCCCTGTGCCGAAACAACAAGCACTACTCAACTATTAGTAGAATCTGCTGGAAGTGACCCATCTAATGCGGCGTCCTGTACAAGCCTCCACTTGGCTCAAGCAGCGCTTCAGCCAAGAAACAAGGCACCGCGGCCCAGGCTTGCTCAGTTCAATCTCACACTGTCGGAAGCTCAGAGACTCGATTTGGGATCTTTCTTCTGCGGGCCGCGCGGTCGCAGTCAGCGCACGATCCCTTGCTGGCCGCTACTCTCAGGTACTCGGACAGAGCCTCGCAGGTGCAGAGCCGGCGCTGCTCCGAGGACGCTTCGTAGTTCGTGGTCGACCAAGGTGGAGCAAAAGGGCTCGGAAGCAGAGGGCGCTTCCAGGTCGAGTCCGAGTGCTCCCGAAGTCAACTCCTAGCCCGGGGCCCCGAGTGGTTCCGTGCTCGTCGGGGAGCCTGCACAGAGTCGCGGAGGCTTTGCAAATGGATCTCAGACCCTTCGAGGCTGCCGCGCACGGCGGACGTCAATGTAGAGTACCCCTGAAACTTTACCGGGGTCCGGCATATGATTTCCTAATTCCAGTGCAACCAGGGATCGCTGGCTGGATGGTGGGGTGATCTGAATTCCGAGGATGATGTCGCGAATCTCACTCGGAGTCAGCGAAGCCACCTTGACGTTGTTCTTCTTACCTGGGCATTTAGAGATGCCTCGGCTTTTAGAACATTCTGCGTCAGAGGTTATTCCAACAGTTGAGGGGCAGTAGTCTGCCAGGATCAAGTCCTTGAGCAGCACCTCAACCTTGATCCACTTCGAGTCGCTGAGACTCGGCCACACCTGGTGTGGCTGGGCGACCTCAAGTTCGAATCAGTTGAGAGAGATCTTTCCCAGTGCAACAGACCTTGCATGACCTCGCAATATCACAAGTCTGGTTCTCAATGTCTAGGCTGAGCCCGGCAGTGCAAGCTGTTGACCCTGGCCTCTTCAGACGCGTCCCGCAAGACTGGCTCCAAAGTTGCAGCTGTGTGGCAGTCTTGTCAGGCTGCAGGATGCCGTTTGTGCGATCCAGATCGATGTGCAGTGCTCCCAAGATCAAGACCAGGCGACCTCAGCAAGCCGTGAGAACTGCAGGCAGCACAGGCCAGCCGCATCCAAGAGCACATGTCTCGATGCATCGGCCAGTGGAACAAGTTGCTGAAGGCAGTGAATGAGGAAATCGACTTCAGCCAGTCGTCGTAAAGGTTGAAGAGCACCATCTCAGGCTCGGTCGCCTTCGGGATCACATCGCTGAACTTCTCGATTCTCAGGCAGGCCTAGCAGCTGGTTTTTTCCACAGGTGCCACGATAGCTGCACCATGCGCAATCGAAATCGTATGATCTGTCGCCTCGAAACGCAGTGAAAGCTCGGAGTGCTTGATCACGATGTTCGGATACTCCACAAGCTGCACCTGACGACTCCAGGATTCAGGCCCTTTCGAGCACTCTGCGACTCTAATCGAGAGCTTTAGGCCCCAAAACTCAAACTATAACGCCTAAACCGTTTTGACACCCCAAGCCTCCGAAATAGAGCCCCTCAAAAGGTGTGGGGCACCTTCAAAGCCTCCAACATGCCCTTCCGCGTCGCGATGATCTGCTTCGGATGCTCCTCCGCCGGCAAGGATCGGATCAATGCTGCCACCTGCAGAGGGACTCGCTGTCTGGTTCTTAGTAGGGAATGGATTATGGAGACTATTATTGAGGATTATATACAGTAGGGACTACTATAGGATCCATTCCCCCATTCCCTACTAGCATTAGACAGCTTAAGCTTCTTGAAAACTTCTTGTTCGCGATGGTCTTGTGCTGGGCTCCTGCTTCCTTTCCTGCTTCTTCATTCTAAAGTAGCAGCGACCAGTTTGGAGTGCGTATTCAGTTTCCACTGCTCAGATCTGCCATTAGAAGCGCAGTAGCAGCGGCAACTGCAGCAGGACGAGCAGCACCTCTTCGGCTGTCTTCTGCTTGGCCAGCTGTGAGAGACGCTCATGACCATCCCACGATGAGGCAGGGATGATCTTCAGCCAGAGCTGTCCTTGCAAATTTTTGAAAAGCAAGAGTCGTAGGTCGGTTAGTAGAGGGCAGAGCCGCAATCCAAGTTTGGGGAGATTCCTCCGACCATCGCTCAAAGGCACCCTAGATTCCTGGTCCTGTGCGCGGGTTGAAGATGAAGATAGCTCCGTTGATTCTTTCGGTCGTCAGGCTTCCGTCGAGCGCTTTGTGGATCTTCACCCGGTACACGTTGGTGTCATCCAGGAGCCAGTTGGTCTTACTGAAGAGCTCTCCGAAGTTCGTGGAGTTCACTGCCTCCATAAGCTCCTGGGCAAGGCGAAAACCCACTCCAAACTCATGCGTTCGCAGGCAATCGAGGGCACATGGGTAGTTTTCAAATCAGGGTCCCTTTCCGGGCACCTTAAATATTAGTGCCGTATTATAATAAGGACCCAAGAAGGGACCCTGATATTGACAACCACCCACATAGCAGCATGCCCTGTCCTCAGGGTGGTCAGAAGCAGGTATCCTGACCTCGGAACCACAGGATGCGTCGCGGCAATTCAAGACCTGCACCGCTCGGACTGCTACCTGGGTTCGCAGGTTGAGGCCCTGGCTGCACCGTCCATGTCCCACGCAATGCGGGCACCGTTCTATCCCACTGCCAGCCACATGCCCTGGCACCAAAACAACCAGCACTGGTCTACTCGACGTGGCTCAAAGAGCGCTTGAGCCAAACAAAAAAAAAAAGCACCCGCGGCCCGGCTTATTGCTCAGCTCGATTCTCGCTGCTCGTAACCCTGGAAGCCCACACGCCTGCGGAAGCTCGGAAGCTCGGCTTGGGATCCCTTCTTTTTTGCGGGTAATACGAAGGGCTCAAGGACGGCAAGCTCACGTGGCAGCAGTCCTTCAAGGCACGGGTCCCATGCTGGCCGTCAGTAATTTAAGCGTTCTGGCGCTGCTCCAGGACGCTTCATGGACGGTCGACAAGCAGGGAACCAGCTCGGAGCAAAATGGCTCGGAAGCAGGTGACCCTTCCAGGTCAAGAACTGCTCCTAGAGTCAACTCGTAGCTTCCTTCGCTTCCCAGGCTCTAAGTAGTTTCGATTTAAGGTCCATCTTGTATATTTATGGTTCTAAGAAGCTTTCAATGGACATGTACAAAAGTTGTCTGCTGCATCCTCTTCGTGGAGGGTGCTGCAACGGGCTCAGAGCTCATACAAAGTGGTCCTGTCGAGGAGGGGACAACATCACAACTGCCAGCAGTGACAATCTACGAACGTATGTATGCATGCCGGTATGTACGTACGCATGTATGTGCACATGTCATATCATTATAATTATACGTCCTGACCTCTTGTGTGTGCATGTCGCTAGGTAGACAAGCAGGCATTCGCGCAGGCAGGCATCCGTTTGTCTGCCTATCAATCGACCTACCGATCGACCGATCGTTCTTTCGATCAGCCATCGATCTGTCTATGCTATCTGCCGTAGTTTTCTTGCATGTCTTGTCTGTCTTATCTGTCTATCCTAGCTGTTGCACCTATCTTACCTACTCTGTCTTTTCTATCTATCTGTCCGTCTATCTACCTATCTATCGACCTACCGCTAAAGTACCTACATCACCGCCAACGAAGATGCACCAAGGTTCATGTGTGCATGCGAATGTTCAAGCATTGTGAAGATCATATAGAACATCGAAACCATAGCCATGTGAGTGTGCCTAGATATAGATATGGATATAGATAAAAATATAGATGTAGACGTGCATGTAGATGCAGATAGATGTATACACAGATACAGATACGTCAAGATGGAAGCAGAAGACAAAGGCTGAGCACAGGCGGAGACAGCGACAGAGAGACGTAATACAGGAGCCTAGATTAGATACCTACAAGACTATTCTGGGGTTCCCTATTGTGGTATTTCTCTGAGAAAATGTAATCCAAAACCGTATTGTCGTACATTTCTCGGAGAAAAATGTAACCCAAAACCGTATTGTCCTACCGGGCCTCGTGGTCTGCTCCCTCGTTGCCAACCTCCTCCTGCTGCGTGAAGTTCAGGAAGTGGGCTGGCCTGCACACATCCAGGGCCTTATTTTGTTTGCACATACAGTAGGCATGTGCTTTCAAAGCCAGGGCCCTTCTTTTGGGGGGGGTCCAGTCTAATAATCAAGATCCTGCTCTTTGGTTCTGACACTCTCAAGCCTGCGAAAGCCCCAAAACGAGCCCCAAAATGCAAAGATCTGTCGCCTGTGGCACTCATGGTAGTACTCACGGGGGTTCTCGACCTCGGGGAGTGAGTTGAGCTTTTTGCCATGCTTGCAATGTGGCTGAAGGCGCTCTCGGCCCCGAACGCAGAGACTGTACTTCATCGTGGGATTGTGCTTCTGGCCCATGAAGTTGTAGTTCCAGAGGGCGTTGTCTGGCCTGAGAAAAGGTCAAGCCGCACAACTCCGATGCAAACCTCCCGGAGAGACTAGTAGGAAAATCAACTCCCCAGCTTTCGCCAGGGTACACCATGAAGAAGCCCAGGAAGATATCACCTTCAAAGCGCGTTTGGACTCAAGCAGCGCATGGCTTCAGACTTCCCAAGACCCTAGGTCCCGGAAGGTCACTATGTAAACCCGAGCTCATAGAAGTCCCACAAAACCCACAAGTCACCCTCACACGAAGGTTTGGGGTTTAGGGATTCAGAGGGGGGCTTCGGGGTCTCAGGGCTTAGGGAGTTTTGGAATTCTACCCCCCAGGCAGTCGAAGCCAAGGGGCTCAGCAGCATCTGCACCTTCTCCGCGTGGGTGGGCAAGAAACCCGCAGGGTTGGGGCCTGTGTCCTCGTCGGCAGAGCACTTTCTTACAGCTTGCTTGCATTGCTCACAAACTTGCAACAACGGTTTAGGGTACCCTACACCTAAACCTGATACCCAGACCCTTCAATCCCACACTCGCGAAGCCAAGATGCACCCCAACATTCAAGCCCCACACCTCCACATAAGCCAACCGGGTCCTTGTTCGACTTACCCCACTGGAAGCCCTGGGGCGTAATGCGGTAGGCCGTCAGCGAGCAGCTGCCTCAGTGGGGAGTCATAGATTGCATCGGGATTGGTATAAGGGCTTGAGTAGAAGAGCTCCAAGGTTCTACCGTTTGTGGTTCATGTAAGGCTCGCTTGTGCAAACCATCATCTTTCGCTGTCTCAAAAAATTTGGGGAAGACCTGGGATCGCTATGAGTACGCGCAGCCAAGAATCCTGGCGTGAAGCTGCAGGTAATGATGATCGTCTGGTCAGCCAGCCACGTCTTGTTGTCTGCCAGCATTCGGGCATGGAAGGTCACGTCCTGCATCAGAAGAGAAATACATCAGCTCGGGATTCAAGCTCTGACAATCACCTTAGCAGACAGCATCCCAGCATATGGCTGTCTAGAATGCCCTGTCAAGGGACCACACCTAACTGAAGTTTCGAACTCTGCACACGAATGGAAATGCGATAGCTACTGAATGCTGATGCCACTGTCATGCAGATGACGGCTAATGATGTCCCTGCTGCTGCTCTCTGCCAGGGTGAAGTGCTGGCAGCGCTGGCAGTTGTCTGCCGCTGCATGTGCTGGTCATGCATCTAGGCGGGTGGTGTGACCGTGGCGGTAGCAGTAATGGAGGTGGTTCTGGTGCCTGTTGCCATTCTTCTGTCTTGAGTTCCCATCAAATTCCAGCTGTGCTTCGCTGTTCGTCAGTATTTGCGCTGTGTGAATTTGTTCTTCTGCACCCGGTCACTCCTATTCAGTAAAGGCTCTGCCTTTCCTTCTTATTCTTGTTGCTGCTGGCATGGCAATAGCAATGCCGGTATGGCACGACTAAAGCACCAAAGTGTACCATAACAGTTCCAAAACATGGCAGCCAATGCTCCTGAGGACTCAGGTGCGGCTGCTCGTTCGGCTGCCTTGTTCAGTTGTTCAGGACACCAGCACGCAGGAGATCAGCCAGAGAGCTGTCAAAGTTGCAGCTGAGACACGTGTGGATCCAGCCCAATGGCTCCAGATCACGCAAGTGATCATGGTCGGGCAGCTGCTGCGGCAGCGTCACATTGCCTGTTGCGCACCGCACACTAAGTCACTAAGCTCTGAAGCTTCGCCCTTCGTATCCTGCAGTCACGCGCAGCCAAAGAACCAGGGGCGCAGAGAGAGGCAACAGGAATCCTTCCTTGCAACCCTTAACCTAGAACTTATACCATATAACCCTAGATAACCCGAAATAACTCTAAACCGTGACGAACTAGGCTCGAGGGTGCAGCCAGGTGGCTGTGCGTGCCAACCTGAGGCACCATGACCATGCACCTGGCTCCCGAGGCACCAATACCGGAGTTTCCGAGAATAGGGGACCCTTTAAGAGTTCCTTTAAGGGATCTATAAGGGTTCTATAAAGGGTTTAGGGTTTAGAAATATTAGGGAGTTTCCGAAAATGGGGGACCCTAATCTAGTACCCTAAACAGTAGGATCCTTATTATGAGGCCCCAATCTAAGGTACCCCTAATTTTCGGAAACTCCCATACGGGCACAAGAGCTCCCACCCCTCTCACCTTTTTATTCTCTCTTAGGGTGGTTGTCAAAATTATGGTCCCTCTTTGGGTACCCTAAATATTAGGTGCCGTACTATATTAGAGACCCAAAATAGGGACCATAATTTCGACAACCACCCTCTTGTTGCAAGCTAGGTTCCGAATCTCCTTCACCTGGGGGTTGTCAGGAGGAGAGATGCCATAGAGGTAGGCGGCGATCTGCGTGCGCAGGTCCTGACACAAGAAAACAAAGTGCAGCCTGGCACCATGCAGAAATAATGACTGCATGGGATACTGCATGTCCAAGGAACACTGATGCAAATGAAGGTTTTCAGGATGTTCTTCGGCATGACATACGTGTAGCCAGTCTCCCGAATGTCTTCACTGTTGACATACCTTGGGGAGTAGTGGCAGCAAAGGCGGAAGACATCAACTTGACGACACACGTTGATTCATGCCTTGGTCGAACACCCGGTCAGCAAAATGCCGACTCTGACTCCCCATTGACTTCTTCCTTCTCGAAAGATTGAAGTATGAGCTCTTCTCAATTTGGACGCTTTGATGGAGAAGCCCTTTGGCAGCAGGGATCTGCAAGTTACAAGACCTACATGCGACTGAGAAGCAGGTGGTTCGTCCGCAGGTGCAGAGACGACGCGCTGATGGCACGGACGCGCCACTCCGTGCGGGAGGCGAAGGTCTGCTGCTCGTAGGGGGAGCCTGCAAGCGCCGTCGAAGGGAGGCTGTCGCACATGGATCCGTTTGAGAGCTGCTGGACTGGAGAAGATGGACATGAGCCAGCAATTGTGATCTGCAAGCGCTCCTGTTGTCACGATCATCTCCTCACCGTGCACGTTGGTGGTCTTGGAGGTAATGGTTGTGATCTGAGACATCTCCTGAGAGTCACTGTCAGGCTGCAAGGCTCAGATTTCAGACCTTCCCCCAACCTTAGCAAAATTGGACCCTGTCCCCGAAGCAACACTTGAAGTTTGAAACGCACCAAGTCCGACTGAAGCTTGTCATTACTCTGGCTCCGAGAGTGCCGATCTCTGACTGAACTTGCCAGAAAATTAATCATACCTCATCGAGACCCACCGGTGGCTCAAGCAGACCCTGTCTAGGTGGGCTCTGGTCCGGAGGCTTCTCTCCGAAGATGATGGTTGAACCCCCAAGCCAGCAAGGCCACTATAACCCCACAGCCACAAACCCGAAAACCCTCAATGAGACACAACTGCCCATCACAGCCCTCAAGAAGTTCATCGGGACCAAAGATCCTTGCCCTGCTTCTCAAGATCGGCGATCTGCTGTCCTGAGCTCATCTGGAGGTTTCTGAAACGCTAGTGATGCCTTGTTTTGGCGATCCGTGTCAGAAGCATCCAGCAACCTAAACCAGAAGCATCCGTGCACGCAAAGTACTTGGGGTTCGCGTCTGTTTCAGGGTCGCTTCTTTTCTGATGTTCCCATCTCTATGAAGGCCGTGCACTCGGGCGGATTAGAGAGTTTTTGGTTTTCTGGAGGCACTTGCAAGGCTTGAAGTCTAGCGCAGGTCTGCAGAGAGCTTCAACGAGGAATACTCGTCAAATGATGGGGATCCTCTATGTATCATTTCAGTCTGCTGACGGGTGTTGCGCTGTCCGGGCAGGGACGGCATCTCTATGCGACCGCGGTTCTCTGGATGGATGGCGGTGCGATCTCCATTCCGAGGATGATGTCGCGAATCTCACTCTGGGTGAGCGAAGCAACGTTGACGTTGTTCTTCTTTCCTCAGCGAACGGCTGCAGCAGCAACAAAAACGAAAACATCACACGTCACAGGCTACGTTCCAGCAGCTGAGGGGCCGTAGTCTGCCAGGATCAAGTCCTTGAGCTGCACCTCAACGTGGATCCACTCGTCGTCGGTGAGACTCGGCCAGACGTGGTGTGGCTGGGTGACCTCAGCTTCAGCGAATGACCTTTGGACTCCGGGAGCTTTCAGAGGCTTTCTTTACGTTGCAAGGACCTGTTGCACACGGGCCCCTCAAGTTGCAAAGGTGAGCAGCTGTCGTCTTGTCGGGCTTCAGGATGACCTTTGTGCGATCCGGATTCACGTGCAGTGCCCGCAGGATCAAGATCATTCGGCCTCAGCAGTCAGGCAGCGTAAAAAAACTAACAAAGAATCGCTGCAAAAAAAGGCCACAGGCAAGATGGTCAGACTGTACAACTCTCGATGCTTGAGACATTGGGACAAGTCACTGAAGGCAGTGTACGAGGAGATCGACTTCAGCCAGTCATCGTAGAGGTTGAAGAGCACCATCTCAGGCTGGGTCGCCTTCAAGATCAGATCGCCGAACTTCTCGATCTTCATGCACGCCTAGCAGCTTCATGTTGCAAAGGCCCGATCAAACCCAAGCACCACGAAACCCCCAGGAGCCAGCAGGTGAGACTCGTCTTTCTCAAGCCTCGCCTGGAACGGCAGGGAGAGCTCGGAGCCCTTGATCACGATGTTCGGGAAATCCAGAAGGTGCACCTGGCATCTTACTCCCCAGCACCAGAAGCTCTCTGAAAACAAAGAAAACAATGTATCTCCCAGGCCCAACAGCCATAAACCCCGTGACACCCTAAGCCCTAAGCTCTTAAACAGGAGTTTGCTGAACCCCCACTGGGGCACCTCCAAAGGATCCAACATGCCCTTTCGGGTCACGATGATCTGCTTCGGCTGCTCTTCCACCGGCAATGATCGGATCAATGCCGCGACCTGGAGGGTGCGGGGTTGAGTGCCAGGGACGCTGCTTGGAGAAAAACGGAGGCCAACATGCCCTTGCATCCATCGTGCTGTTCCTGATTTGAACCTGCTGCCTTTCCTGCTTCTTCACGATGCTGCAGGCAGGTCGCGTGTAGTGGCGAATAGTCGGAGTGAGTAGACAACAGCAGTTGGCAATGTCCAGAATAACTGGCAGCAGCACACTAGCAGCAGCATAATATTACTAGCCGCACTAAAGCAGCAGCAGGAGGAGGAGCAGCAGCAACAGCAACAGCAGCAAAGGCGGAAACAAGCAGCTGCAGCCCGAACGTCAGCCTCCTCGGCTGTCTTCCACTTTGCCAGCTGTGAGAGTCGCTTCTGACCTGCCCACACGGAGGTGTGGATGATCTTCAGGAAGAGCTGTCCTGTAACAGACATCGGCTTGCTTTAGGGGTCGCAGACTTGTACGGGGCGGAAAAGGGCCAAGAGTTGTGGGCATCAGATCCTTGGAATCAGTGCTCAACTCCCTGGTCCTGTTCGCGGGTTGAAGATGAAGATGGCTCCGTTCACGGGCTTCGTGGTCAGGTTACCCTCGAAGGTCTTGTGGATCGTCACCCGGTACACGTTGGTGTCATCCACGAACCAGATGATCTGGGAGCTGAAGAGCTCTCCATAGTTCTGGGAGTTCAAGTAGGGCTCGGTAGGCTCACTGCTGTAAAGCTGCAGACCCTTGCGGATGCGCTCGCGAAGCACATACAGGGCAGGATTTGCCTTCATGATCTTGTTCATGGACCTGTGCAGCAATGGCTTGACTCCTGGGAACCAGTTGCCGAAGCCGCTGTGCAGGTTGTAGGCCAAATCCACGCCCATGAGCACGCCCGTCGGCGACGGGTAAATGGACATGTTGTCTGTGGTGTAGTCCAAGAACTTGGCACGGCAGTATCGTTCCTGCAGCATTGCTGGGGCATAAAGGAGCAGAAAAAACGGCCTTTTCGGACTAAGGTCGCTTCCTGCTCGACTCTTTACTCTTTACGTGTGAAAAGGAAAAAGAAAGATCAACCGACTGCTTGGCGAGCTTCGATGTCGTGGGAATCGTAGTCTCCCCAGCGGAGCTGCACATCGATCCAGTACTTTGTGGTCGTCGTGCCATCGAAGCCATCCTTGGACTCTGTCAGCAATGACGGCTTGGAGACGGCCCATTTGTAGGAGGCGAAGAGGAGCACGTCCGCGCAGGAGCTGTTCATCTTGTAGGACTTACGCGGGTGAATCGTCTCCTTCTGCACCATCTCAATCTCCAGGGCATCCAACTCCAGATCGAAGACCTGGCACAAGTCCATGACAATACTCTCGTGGATCTTCTGCCACAAGTGCGCGCGGAAGATCTGGATCAGGGAGATCTTCAGGGTCGGGATCTTTCCGTGCATGAAGATGCCGGTGAGGTCCAGCTGCACCTGGAAGCCGACATAGACGTTGGCACGGTTGATCGTTGGAGACCACCAGAGCGTGAAGCGTCGATTGGGAATCTGGTTCAGACCACTTCGCTGGGCGTTCGTGAGCTTCTTGAATCGCATGGACTCCTCGAAGCCGCTGGCCTTCTCCCAGAAGAGACCCTCCCAGGTGGGGAAGTAGGTGCCCTTGAAGAGCGTGTGCTCCAAGATGCCTTCGACACCTCCCAGTGCCTGGATCATGTCAGTTCGGTAGTTGTTCAAGTTCCACAGCTTTCCATCATGGCGCTGGTGAGTCCACCAGAAGGGGTTCTGGCGCATGATGTTGTACTGCTTGAAGTCCTGACGCACGCGCCAGCCCTTGTCGAAGGCCAAGGTGTGGCGATCCTGCGAGGACAGGCACGGGGGAAAAAACTGAAAGAAGCCCGCTCACTTGGGTGCTCCAGACGGGCCCCACTCGGCAGCAGATTTCCAAACCAGACTTGTATGAAACTGACCCCCAGGCCCTAGGGCCCTAGGTGTCCTTCTGGAAGAGCGTGTTGATTCGAGGAATACCACGATCCCAGGCATCCTCCAGGTCCTGCGCAGCAGCCGTCTACTTATGTACTCCTGCTCTTCACGACATTTCAAGCTCATGATACCAGATCTACTCTGCTGGTGCCAGTGCACGTAAGTATACAGTATACACACACATACCCCTCCATCCGTACATACATTACATGTTGCGCTGCCATCATGCGAATCATCTGAGCTCCTCCAATGTGAGGCGTCGGTTCTGCGCTGTGGCCTCCTGCCTCTTCAGGGCGTACTCGGCCCAGACACGCTGGGAATCGATGAACTCCGCCTCCCAGGTCTGCACCTCAGCGGGGTGGCGGGAGCTGACGCGTCTCGAAAGACTCAGAAGCAAAGGTTTGGGGCCCAAAGTTGGGCCGTTCGTTACTGCGCAGAAGCGGATTGAAGCTGCTGGCAGGGAGCATATCGGTACAGGTTGGGGATGAGCTGGTCCTCCTCGTGGCTCAAGCCACTGCGGTAGTGCGTGATGCCCGTCCTCAGATACTCGAGCCGTTGGTTGGAGCTAGACCCCACAGCAACGTGTCAGCCACACACTACGGAAGCTGCAAACACTGCCGAAAGAAGCAAATCTACCTCCTGTGCAGTCCAAGCCGCTCGGTCTGCTTCGAATATCGCAAGTCAGACTGCGGGATCAGGATGTGGCCCATACTGAGCATGCCCAATCCTCCCAACTCCTTGGGGGTGTAGAAGACCACAGGCGGGAATCGCGAGGGCATCTTGGAGTTCAGCCCGATCTTGATTCGAGTCTGCACCTGCACAGGTCTTCAAGGTGCGACCAACGGCAGGAAAGGGGGGGCCGGGACCTTCCGAAACAAAGAGAAATGCCCGCCCTCCTCTGACAGTATACAGTATAGTATACAGGTTGGAGGCGTATATCGGGAAGACCTTCCCTTCAAGACAGGGCCGCCTTGTTCTCGCACTTCACGAGAAGGTCGAGCAGCGCATCCGTGTGAATCACGGCCTCGCGGAAGTATGTCATCATACCGATGAGGTTCGTGTTCCACTTGTTTGCAATCTTGGTGAAAGTTGTAGAACCTGATGCCATCAAGATGGTTCGACATCTGTTCTCGAACTGCTTCTGCGACTCGTTGTCGACCTTCAAGAAGGCCTGAGCCGTCATTTCCTTTGTGGCATCGTTCTGCAGCTTCCACACGCCCTCGCGCTGCGTGAACTCCTCCTGGAACGTACGGATCTTTGGCAAGATGCGAACTTCAAAGCCGCACATGTTGAAGAGGATGTTGGGGTTGTCCTTCGAGTAGACGGACGCGAAGGAGTTATCCCAAACAAGCGTGGTAACGCTGCGCGGCAAGCGGTTCTGCATCTCCCAGAAGACGGCTCGTCCCAGGTTGACATCGTGCTTCATGCGCCGCATTCGGCAATCGCGGGGCCAGCACATCTTGTTGGTGTAGCCGACAACATTCTCGTTGTTGGGATCCGGGTTCTCCGTCAGGAACCTCTGAATCAGATCCTTGGAGTCCTCCTTGCTGAAGCGGAAGACCATGATGAAGCGGTCCAGGTACCGGCAGTACAGGCGGATGGGGTGCCTGAGCTCCGTGTCCACATCCTGGAAGGTCAAGAACTCGTTGGGCAGCTGAGGAGGTCCGGCGATCTCTGAGGCCCTGGTCAGACCCAGCATCAGCAAGTCCAGGACCATGCAGTAATACTGGAAGACGAAGGATCCGAACTGCAGGCCCTTGATGAGACCGTAAGAGTTGGTGTGGTTCATGTCCTTGTAGTTGATGACAATGTTGTTCTTCGCAGTCATGTAGTCTGCGATGTTGTGATCGACGATCAATCGGAGCAATCGGTTCAACAGGGTGAGGTCCACCTTCTGCGAGACGTTCTCGAACTTGCTTTCCAGGACCACAACGCACTGACCGTCTGAGGTGTCCCAGACATCTGTCAAGTTGTTGATACCCTGGCACCACTTGTACACCAACAAGGGCGCTGGCTCGGTGTCTGCCGGCTTCACCCAGTTGGGGAAGAGATGTCGGTGGTCACCCTCATACCACAGGTACTGATCCAGGTACGCATCCGTGATCTTCTCCAAAGGCTCGATCTCGTAGCAGGGCACCAGGTGACTGTACATGTCCTGGAACTCGATGGTCACCTCTTTGAAGGCGCGCTGCGTGAGCAAGTGTCGCTTGATTCGCGAGAGAGCCTCGTGAGGATTGTCGTAGGCCTGCTCGACCAAACCCAACTCCTCTCGCTGCTGCTGGTTCAGACGTGTCTGGACGGTGTACTGCTCCTTGAGCCGCTCCAAAGCCAAAATGAGCAGTTTGGTGTCGTGCTTGTAGTTCAGGGGCGGGAAGGGGATCGGAGTGAACTTGCGACTCTCCAGCCAGTGCACGGTGGTGGTGTAGATCGCCACGGCCTCCTCTCCGCTAACGTAGGGGCCATCCTTCAGGTAGTTGTGCTGCCTCTCTTGCTCGGCCTTCAGCCAGAGACGGGTCAGACGTCCCAAATTTTTCTTGCAGGTGGTCTTGTCCACGGTGGCACCACGGCGGATACGCTCTCTGTTGTAGTACGTCGCGTTGGTCCACCAATCGGCCTTGGACTTGACGTAGCGAAGGATCATATTCTCGATCGGCGCAGGCAAGCCCGGCACCTTCCAAGGGATGTTCGCCTTCCAACATCGCCAAGCCTCCGACAGGTGCTGCAGAATGGTTCGGGCCTTGTTGGCTCGGACACCTTCGGGCATCATGTCAATGATGTCGTGCATCACTGCCGCACGCAGCTCCAAGTCAAAGTGACTCTCCACTCGCTGCTTGGTGATGGTCTTGGCGACGCCCTTGCTGACACGGCCTTCGAACTGTCGGGCCAACAAGTTGCCCAGCCAGCGCTCCAGCAGCGGGACGACACCGCGCAGGAAGAAGAGCCAAACGCGCCAGCCCGGTGCCCAGAAGCCGCAGCCGGGACCCTTTCCGACGGGGCCAGTGTTGAAGCGGTAGTAGACCAAGTGCTTCAAGTCCTTACACATGCGCACCTGTCGCATGAGACGGTACTTGTAGCGGTACATACCCGTCAACTGACCCACGTGGGCAAAGATGTACTGCAAGCCGTCTGCAAGCTGGAAGGCATCTACGTTGCCCAATCGGAACTGCACGTGCGAGTCCACAACCAGCTTCGTGAGGCGCATGATCTCTCGGCACAGGTGAAAGGCGTTGCCGAATCGAGACTTCTTTCTCTCCTTCGTCGTCAACGTCTTCACTGGCTTCAGGTTGAAGTTGTAGTCCAAATGCAAGAAGTTCAAGTTCTTACGGGCGATCAGGAGGTTCAGCATGTTGTAGCCTTGGCGGCAAACCTGCAGACCAATCTCCACCCAGTCCAACTCCGTGCGCTGGAAGAACTTCGTCGTGGCGAAGATGTTCATCAAGTTGCGCTTGTTCAGCGTCTTGGGAGGGCGATGGTGCAGCTGGTTGAGAACCCAGACCTTCAGGAGCTTCTGGTATGACACGCGCACCTTCACCGGGTAGTTCGAAGGACAGTGCTCCTTGTACCACTGCCCAACAAGAGGAACATCCTGTGCACGACGCATGTAGCCGCTGCGAAGGTTGAAGGGCCTTGGTGCCCAGTAGAGCGTGATGCCGTTCGCTGTGCAGTCCGTGAAGAGCGGAGTATCCTCAAGCAGAGGCGTGCCTCAGCTACGAGTCAGATCGGACTGGCGCTTTCGGACTTGAGGCGCTCGCCCGAATCCGTCCAAGAGGCAATCTTCCGGCAGCTGGAAGCTCTCGATATCCTCGTCATCATCCGCCGACTGATCCTGGGAGCGATGGGACACTGCGCGGTACCTCAGCTGCGCTTAGAGATCACATCGACTCAAGCGCGAGCCTACTTCAGAGAGCCAGCTCTCTAATCCCAACCTGCTAGCATAAGAACCTGATTAAGAAGCTCTAGATCTTTATTAGGGTTGCCCTTAAAGGATCCCTTTAAAGGAACCCTAAGGGACCCCTAATTTTCGGAAACTCCCACATTACCTTACAAAAAAAAACCCACTCAGCTTTAGCCCAGGAGGCGCTGGCAGCGGATTGATGATAGGATCGTAGTAGAAGGCCTGGGTGCTAAGAGGCTCCATTAGGGTTTCGGGTTTCGGGTCTTTAGGGCTTAGGGTTTAGGGTTTAGGGTTTGGGGTTTCGGGTTTAGGGTTTGGGGTTTGGGGTTTCGGGTTTAGGGTTTGGGGTTTTGGGTTTAGGGCGCACGCTATGTACGGTTTTGGCAAGTTTAGGGTTTACTCTGCTGAGTTTCGGGGGAGTTTGTGCTCTGGGTTCTGGGTGCAGGTGAAAGGACCCCAATTAATATATAATATATAATATATAATAAATAATAAATAATATATAACAAATAATAAATAATATATAATAAATAATAAATAATATATAACAAATAATAAATAATATATAATAAATAATAAATAATATATAACAAATAATAAATAATATATAATAAAAAATAAAATAATATATAACACATAATAAATAATATATAATATATAATATATAATAAATAATAAATAAGATATAACAAATAATAAATAATACATAATAAATAATAAATAATATATAACAAATAATAAATAATATATAATAAATAATAAATAATAAATAGTATATAACAAATAATAAATAATATATAATGTATAATAAATAATATATAACAAATAATAAATAATATATAATGTATAATATATAATATATAGTATATATGGTCCAGCATTCAAGGCTCCGGTTCCCCGGATAGGGCCTCTCAGTGCGTCCAGCAATGCTTGATCGCTGCTGGTCAAGCGGCCGGAAGATCGGGATCATCCGCTTTGATGTAGCAGACGGACTGGCAAGGGGTTTATGGAGAGCTTTGGGTAGAGGCTTTGGAGAGGCTTCTTGAAGCATGGGAGCCCTTTAGCCTCGTCTACCCCAACTCTGGTGCCTGGTTGTGGTAGGGTGCCATCGCAACCTTTCGAGGCCGCGAGTTGTACAGGAACGGGAAGGCGATACCTCGGTCGATCGAAACCGTATGGTGAATCCAGGCCCCAACCCTAAACCCCTAAACCCTGAGGCCCTAACTAGCCCATGTTTCACCCGTCTGAAAGTCTCGGGGTCTTGGGGCTTACGGTCTGCAGCTCAACGCTTGCCGGCGAAGCCAGCTCCAGAACGCGAGCCAGGCTGCGGTACTCGGTCCGCAGCTGCTGTCGCACGATGATCTTGTTGATGTCGTTGAACCTGGGCTCAGGGTGATAATCTGCATCGGTATCGGACCTGGGAAGTCATATGAGGCCGGGCTGATGATCTGAGTCGGTCAAGTCATTTAGACTAGGAAACGGAATCGACGGAAATTTGTCGTTTGCTCTGTTCTGACGGCAACACGAAGGAAACTCTTCGGAGTACATTGCTTCTGCTTCCCTGTCCGGAAGGAGTCGTCGGATTCTAGGCAGCGGGCTCGTTCCAGTCCTCATCCTCATCGTACATGTCACGGTAAAGGGGCTCGAACTTGGGGCCACCTGTTTTGGGATCTCAGGGTGTTGGGCTTCCGGGATTTGGGAAGCTGTGGCCGAACAGCTCCAGGCTCAGGGTTGGAGGCTCTCGGAATGTACGGGTTCAAGTCTTTTTTGCGCAAGTCTGCGCCGAACCCGTGTCAGCTCGGGCCAAAAGAAAACCCTTGTACGTGCCATACCGCTTTTAAGGCTTCGAGTTTAGGGTTCACGGAGATTTTGTGTTCGGCTCAAAATCACGCAATAGCGAGCCATGCCGAGCCTGGAATTGCCATATTCAGCGCTTTTGCCGTGTAGAAGGACTTCTTTTCGAAGAGGTAGAAGTAGTTCCTAAACCATGGACATATGAAAGAGCTTGTACCATGCAGCTCTCCGAGACAGCTTGCTGCCAATAATTCATCAAAGGATCTTGTCCATCAAATCAGACAGCAACTGGTTGGACAAGCGGTACAAGACGCCTGAGCTTCAGCCGGAATATTGCTACACGCTGCGACTGGGACATGATCTCCATTTAGCTCCATTGTCTGTGTCAAGTTTCCTTGCTGAGCCAAGGAGAGATGCCACTTCCGGTAGCTCGTGCCGTTCACATGCTTCGTGTTCAAAAGTGGCACCTCAGATGTGGCAACTTTATGCTCAGGCCTTACAAATCGAAGTACTGCCTGAGCACGAGAGATTCAAGAATCCATGTTACTCTTTAAAGCCTTCTGCCCAGGCTCTGCTTCATAAAACCACTCCAAAACTGGCTCATCCTCGACCGGATCCAACCTCCAAACAGTGGGTAATGACCCAAGGAAGACTTCCAGATTCGCAGTGTCATGAGAGTAAGATAACCGTAAACTAGCGATTGGTAATTGTAAACGTTGTCGTGATGGTTGCCGTGGGTGGAGATGTAATGTAGTAGCAGTGGTGGTGGTAATAGTAGTAGTAGTAGTAGTAGTAGTAGTAGTAGTAGTAGTAGTAGTAGTAGTAGTGGCAGCAGTAGTAGTAGTAGAAGTAGTAGTAGTAGTAATAGTAGTAGCAGCAGTAGTCGTAGTAGTACTCGTCGTAATAGTAGTAACTGTAGTAGTAGTAGTAGTAGTAGTAGTAGTAGTAGTAGTAGTAGTAGTAGTAGTAGTAGTAGTAGTAGTGGCAGTAGTAGCCGTCGTCTTCGTAGTGGTAGCAGTAGTACTAGTACTAGTAGCAGTAGTGGTGATAGTAGTAGGAGCAGGTGTAGTGGCCATAGTAGTAGTAGTAGTCGTAGTCGTAGTCGTAGTTGTAGTCGTAGTCGTAGTAGTATTAGTAGTAGTAGTAGTAGTAGTAGTAGTAGTAGTGGCAGTAGTAGCCGTCGTCTTCGTAGTGGTAGCAGTAGTACTAGTACTAGTAGCAGTAGTGGTGATAGTAGTAGGAGCAGGTGTAGTTGCCATAGTAGTAGTAGTAGTAGTAGTAGTCGTAGTCGTAGTTGTAATCGTAGTCGTAGTAGTATTAGTATTAGTATTAGTATTAGTATAGTATTAGTATTAGTATTAGTATTAGTATTAGTATTAGTATTAGTATTAGTATTAGTATTAGTATTAATAGTAGTAGTAGTAGTAGTAGTAGTAGTAGTAGTAGTAGTAGTTGTTGTAGTAGTAGCTCTAGCAGGAGTAGGAGTAGGAGTAGCAGCCTAGTCATACTTACTAAGTGCTTTCACTTGGGCTTTTACTGCTTTTTTGCTGCTGCTGGCATGATGCTGGCTACGACGACGACTACTGTTTCTGCTACCCTTGACATTCATTAACAACTGCAAAATGACAACAGTATGGCCCACGACGACGAGAACCGCCATGGCGCTGATTATGAATGTCCAGTATCTGCCGTTACGACAACCACATTAGCAACGGTGGAAGCCTCCTTTTGCAAAAATGAACCTGCTGCACCTCAGCCCAAACCCAGACGGAGACCCTCAGACTGAGACGATTGTGCTAAGGAAAATATGATCAGTGAAAGTCTCATAGCACGGATTATGATTAAGACTAACAGTCAATAAAGAGATAATGTAAGAGTTCTCGTATCATTGAGACTAATAGTCAGGGAAGTGATAATATAACAGTTCTCTTAAATCCTCACCTCATCTGGATGGCTTCCAGGGGCTCCACATCCAGGACGTTGTCTCCGTAGTCCAAAGGCGGCTCCTCGTCGTCGAAGGGCGGGAAGCGCATTCGCTTGAAGTGGCGTCGGTCTCCTGGATGCCAGGCTTTCCGAGGTGGGTTTGGGACTTTGGGGCTTTAGGGGTGTATGCTTGACACTCAGAACCTTCAACCCACGGATTCCAGGAAAGACTGGATCATGAGGGCCAAGTCTCGCTTCTCTCGGCGCATCATGATCCACATGGTACCCCACTGAGCAAGGTACACGGGCTCGATGACCTCCGACGACAGATGCGGGCAAGGTTGTCGCGACTCGTGGCCTGCTAGAGTTTTACTTCAGAATTGTGCTTCAGGGCAGGAGATGTACTGGTCAGTTGCAAGCTTGGGCAGCCCTGGATGCCGGATCGATAATCCACGAGCGAAACCCGAAAACCGTCAAGGCTGCCTTTTGCATCTCCGCACAGAAGGTAATGGCACCACTGCAGTGGTACACCGTGCGGCAATTGCGGATCTGCTGCCACGGAACCGGGATGTTTTCCTGAATGGCTCGGAGAGAGGAGCAGACTTGCAGCTGCAGCAGAAAACCATACTTGCAGTTGCATGTCTCTCGCCAACAAACCCTTTTTGCCTGGCTTTTGACAATCGGCGAGCATGCGAACGAAATTGAAACCATGATGGCCATGCTGCTCTCGATGTTGGAAATGGTACTGATGACGATGGCGATGATGATGATGGTGATGATGATGATGATGATCATTATCAAATTAAGATGATTATGATGAATATGAAGATGGTGATGATGGTTATGACAATGACAACGATGATGATACTGATAATGATCATGATAGTGAGAATGAAAATGATAATGACTAGGACCATGACGACGACGATGATGATGATGAAGATGGTGATGATTGATGTTGCTGATGAATATGGTGCCGGAGATGATGATGGTCACAATCGTGGCCACGTTGATGATACCAACAGTTCTTGTCATAATGATAATGCCGAGAAGAAATTGCGATAATGACCTTCATCAGCGTGACGAGAATGACGATAAAGATGCCCGTGCGATGATGCTGACGGCGGAGATGGCAAAGATTACGGTGAAAGTGAAAATGACGATTCAGACCAGCATGAGGGTGCTGATGATGGTAATGGTGCTACTTGTGATGATGATGATGACGATGATGATGATGATGATGCCGATGAAGATGATGATGATGATCATGATGATGCAGCTGCTGGTGGTGGTGGTGGTGGAGGTGGCGATGGTGTTTTGTCATGTGCAGCTAAATACATGGAAGCAGACAGTACTTTGAGTGATGATGCTGTTGGTGCTTCTGATGAAAATGACGTTGTTGATGAAGGTGACGACATGCCAAGGATACCATACAGCTAGTGATGACGGCTGTGCGGACAATTAGCATCGGTTACCAGTATCATCATCGCCAGCATCACCTACATCAGGACAAGGACTATTGCAGAAACTCGGAATAATCCGCTGCTGCCTCCGCGACTGCTGACTGCTTATGTTGCCACCACCTAAACCTAATGCTACTCTGCTACCGCAACCGCTACGCTACGGCTACCGCTACTGCTGCGGCTGCTCCTCCGGCTACTACTACTACAACCACGACTGCTACTACTAGTACTACTACGACTACTACTACTACTACTACTCCTACTACTACTTCTACTACTCCTGCTACTCCTACTGCTCCTACTGCTCCTACTACACCTAGATACACCTAGTACTCCTAGTATTCCTGGTACTCCTACTACTCCTAGTACTCCTAATACTCCTAGTCCTAATACTGCTGGTACTCCTAGCACTCCTACTCCTACCACTACCACCACTACTCCTCCTACTACTCCGACTACTCCGACTACTCCTACTACTCCTACTACTCCTACTACTCCTACTACTCCTACTACTCCCACTCCTACTCCTACTCCTGCTCCTAGTCCTTCTACTACTTCTCCTCTTCCAAGTACTGCTACCACTGCTACCACTGCCACTACTGCCAGCCACTGCCTCTGCTACTGCTACCGCTACCCCTACTGCTGCCGCGGGTACCACCGTTGCACAACTCCGACAGCGACAGCTCTTGATGCACAACCCGTCTTTGCTTGCTCCGAGGCTCGAGAAGCTTGTACACCGCATGCGGCAGGTACTTCAAAGCACCCAAGTAGATGCGCTTGTCGTGGCGGAACTTGCGGGCTGTCATATCTCCATGATCCTGCAGCCAAGTTTGCTCATGGGACAACCAATTCTCCGCTGGGCGAGGCTCATCCCTGATCCGAAAGAGCGCTCATGCAAATATGCGCTTCCCAGTGCCTTGATGATCTTTCGGATATGCTCCGGAGGCCTTGTGCAAGGCAGCTGATTCAACCCGCGACTCTCAAAAATACCGGAAGAGGGCCCTCAACCCCCAAAAGGGCACCGAGACACATCTCCTCCTTCTGCTGCTCAACAACGCCAAACCTTGTGCTGATGCCAGTGAGCGTTCAGGATTGTAACTCTGTGATGGGTAGGACCAGCACTTAGGAACGCTTTCGAGGGCTTGATCAAATCCTGGGTGCCACGCTTGCGCTTCTCTCCATACCGCTTCGCATTCAAGGACTGCCACTTTCGTGCTTTTTCATCAAGCAGCTCCTTAGCCGCAAGCTGCCAGGGCGTGCCTGCTGGATTCGCCTCCTAGTCTGTCCGCCCAAGTCACTTTATCCTGCCAGGACCCTGCTGCCAAGAGTCTTCCTGGGTCTTGCTCGATGCGGCAGGCCTTAAGGGCCCAACATAAACGACAGACACTCACACACATCACGGAACTGCAGAGCTCAGCTGAGCCCCTTGCTTTGGAGGCTCTGGCGGTGGGGCCTGCGGAGGGAGACGCATAGCAGCAGCCGCCTCACGACAGAAGCAAAAACGTCACAAATGCAAGAGAAGAAGCTGACGTGTCAAACATGTATGCTATGGAAGGATCTGCTGCTTCAACTTGCATAACGTTGCTTAGGCAGCATTGGCAGAATCTGATGCATGCATACAGTGCAGCAAGCAACACTACCCTTTCGGATTCTCCCGAAACACATCGCAGACGAAGCCCCGGGAACACTCCGAACAAAGCAAGCCGTGGCCTGTGCCATTTGCTGCTGCTGCGGCATCCCCGGCCTGTGCTCTTAACACGGCATGGAGCAAGGCTGATGGTTGTCAGCATCATCACAGTTATGAGTTATATTCCTTCTCAAAACCTCACTCAACATTATCATTACCATGAAGGTCGCGAAATTTCGTGCATGCGTAAGCAGCACCACGGGGAGTATCAACGTCATCCCAGTGCCATGATGGCCACTACTAATGGTACTATAGTGGCCCAGCTGATTTGAGTTTTTAACAAGGCATCGTACGGCTTGTTCTTGTGCGAGAATTGAAGTTATTGAGCGCTGCGAGGAGGGTTAGACTGCAGGTCATGCGATTCTGGTTTTGTGCATGAAGGCAGTAAAACCATAAAAGTAACCCCGGTAGTAATCAGTGCTCACAGTTTCAAACCAGCCTCTTTGCTCATGGTAGAAGAACCGAAGCTTACCCCGCTTGAACAATCCATTATTGCGCATGCGGCTGCAGTGAAACCTTGAAAAAGATCACCCGTCTCTGGTTTTTTTACATACAGGCAGAGACATCTCTCCCTAAACCCCAAACCGAAAACCGCAAAAGCTGTATTCGGGCCGAGGGGCATTCCTGGAGGCAGAGCGAAGGGGTTCAGGGCCAAGCTGTGGCTTGGCATCTGGCCCCCCATCTGGCCCTGGCCCGGAAAATTGAACATGGCTGCACCTCGGGGGAGCTTCAAAGGCTTCGGAGGTTTCAGGGGTTTAGAGCTCTTTGCTGATTGAATGGGTACTTCTGCTGATGCTGTTATAGCAAGGTTTCAGAGTTCGGGCTTTGTATGGCTGTGTGATGAGGTCTGCAGAAGACCACTCGTCAGAAAGGTCCTAATTCGTTCTGGCAGCAACAACAACAACACGACCACCAGCAGCAGCAGCCACAGTACCCCAATCCGCCGAGGCCAGAGGCCCAGGCGTCTTGGGGATTACCTGAGGTACCCTCCACCTAATCCTCCTCCCTCCAGTCCGGAAAGTTTGGGGACACCCGCTTTGCATTCCTTTGCCGCCTTCCCATCATTACCTGATTTGTCGGCCTCCCCCCCCCCTCCCAGGCCTGAGATGTAACCTGGACGTGTATCCCCTCGCTAGGCGTACAGGAACACAGGCACTCAGGTGTCTCTTTTGCTACAGGCGCACAGCTGTAGTCCACTGCACTAGAACCTTGAGCAACAGGCATGGATACATGCAAGTGATACGTGAAACAGACAGGCACCTGGATGTGTAACATTCAGTGTTTCAACCAGGCACAAATTTAAAACACGTAGAGCTGCATGGCCGTGGAGTCGGCATTCAACTAGCCTGTTATTGCTCTCGGTCGAATTAGCGGAGTATTGAGCTACATCTGCGACTTGAAGAGAATCTATACATCTCTCACCTGAAGACAGCTTCAATGAAAAGAGCAGAACACGCACGAAAACGCAAACGGATCTTCAACTGAAAACTTTTGCTTGAAAGTTGCCCACTTGTGTTCAGTTTCCTCTCCAGGCGGAAAGCTTACTGTCACATAAAAGATTGTAGAGCTTAGCTCCACTTGATGCCAGCATGACATCTTGCGACACGGCAAATATATAAGGGCATGAGAAGTATCTTATCCTGAGATAAGTATCTTCTTTCTTGACAAGGTCTTTAGGAAGTACCTCTTCATGAGAAAAGCATCTTCCTATGAAATGGCGAATGCTCAAACTGGATACCTTCTTATGAAAGAAGCATTCCGTGAAACACTCACTCCACTTCTTCCATCGGACCTTGGTTCATCACCCTCTGGTTGTACTGCTCCACCCTACGACGAGTACGAGGACTGTCATCAGGATGAGGCAATGGTGGTCCAAATGCCAGTGAAAAAGCTGCAGGCGAAATGGGAACCACGGTCTATCACCAAAGGATGCTGGGCCAGGACCAACGTCTTCGTCAGGAACGTCAACGTCTGTGTCCTCGCCCTCATCTGAACCTAGTCAGTTTTTGCCCTTGGCCTCTTGCCCTTGGACTTGCCCTTGTCGGCGTCCTTGCCTTTTCCTTTGGAGGACTTGCCTCCTTTGCCGCCTTCTTTGCCACCAGGAGGTTGTGCGGGTTCTTGAGGACGTTGAGAACCAGAAGCTTTAGCACCAGAAGCTGCCTCTTCCTGAGAAGAGCTTGCTCCCTGTGGTGCGGCTGCAGGACCAGTAGAACCAGAACCACGCGCCTTGTTCAGCTTCTGTCTCTCTTTTCTTCTGTCCGCGGCTTCCTTCATGGTGTCGGGATTGCGGTTGAGCGCTCTCATCCTGCCTCCAGAGTACTGGTTCGCGTGAACCTCGATGAGGAGCGGAGTGTGAGCGTCATAGTCCCGATCGTTGAGAAGGTACGCGGCGCTGGTGGAGTTTAACAGCCACTCAGAGACATGGATGTCGAACTCAGTCTTTGAAGACGGAAACTCCGCCCATTGATCGTCCGACATGCTGTGTCCCCATTCCATGACTGTAGCCATAACAGGATCCAAACCAGGAAAAGTATTCCAGTCTGGTTGCTTAGCTTCCTTGTATGGCATTCCCAGCGTGTCCTCATACTGTTTCAGAAGCCACATGGCGTTTGCTGACACATGTCTCGCACGAGGCGAACAGAAGTGTGGGCACTTTGGGCTTTCTGACCATGCCTCCAAGAAGTAGTCGAGAAGGCTTTGGTACATCCCGCCACGAATATCCATCGACTCCTGCTTTCTGCCGGTGGCCCGGTAGAGGGCCATGTTGGCGTCGCCACCGATGAGGTCGACTTGGTAGTGCAAGCAGTCGATGAACATGTTGCCCAACACTTCATGAGCCAACGCCACCTTGTCTGCCGCCGCGTCGTTGTGGAGGTGGAAGACACAAACTCTTAGCCGGTCGGATCCAGCTCGCTCCAAGACCTTGGTCAGTGACTCATCTGGAACATCACCACGACTGCCCTGGAGACCGGTCGGTAACGTCATGCCATACACGATTTCCGCGACCATATAGGTTATTGGAAGGGACTCGTGGGCATATCCACTGAGAGTGGAGCCGGCAAGACGGGTGATCGAAGATCCGACACCATTTGTACGACTTCCCACCATCAGGTCCTTGGACTCGTTACGAAGGAATTGCCAACCGCGTGACTTGAGGAAGGCCTCTTCGGAGTCATCGATCTTAGCCGCTTCGCAGAGCATGAACAAATGCGTCTTCGACTGTGCAATCGATTTTATCAAGGCTCCTTTAGATGGTGTAGCATCGTCCCAGTCAATGTGATTAGCAACGGAGCTAGGAGCGGAACGCTTTCTTCCCCTGCTCATGTTGCCGAGATTGAGGATGAGCGCGGCATACTTGGTCTTGCTGGTGAAGATAGGGACATTGGAGTCCTCCGCCAGACCAAAACGATGAATATAAGGATTCGGCGTCTTCTCAAGAGAGAGGTCCCCGATCTCCTCTTCATCGACTCCGGTGCTCAAGAAGTAGTGAAGCATAGCATTCAAAAGTTCTTCTCGAGTTGCCGGATTGCCGCTTGCATCCAGGGACTTCAGCTTATCAAGAAGTGCTTCCATAACATCCAGTGCTGATTCTCGGATGTCAGAGGCCTTGCCCATGAGCTTGTCGTCCAAGGTGCTACGAACGTCCCCAGAACGAAAAACAACGTCCTTTTTGTCGGGACGACGCTCATAGATGGGATCCATCTTGTTGAGTTGGTCGAATAGATCCACCATAGAGAGAGAGTATTTCTGTCCCTTGTGGTTCGGAACATTTACCCTCCAACTCATATGCTGCACCTTGTAGGCGAGAACGGGCTCGTAATCAGGATCACGAAGTCCTGTATGATACAAGCCTGAATAGCCATATCCATGCAGCTGCTTGCAGAGCATCCGCATAGGGCTTTGTCGTTCGATTTCGGTGAGCTGATTAAGGAAATGTTTGAACTCTTCGAGATCAACGAGCTCGATCTTTTCCTTTGCCTTGCCCATTTTGTCGAACGCGTTCTCATTCTGGTCCTCTGCATCCTTCGCGGCCTGGTAGTACTCAGGATCCGGAACAGTCTTGCATTTCCCCCAGATGCCTTGATCGTGAAGTTCACTTTCATCATCCTTCTCGGGAGAAATGTCTGGCATGGATTCCTCACCCTGTGGTGAGCCTTCCTCAGCCATTTCAATGTTCTCGGACTTACCTCCTTCCTGACCCATGTGCACATCAGGTTCGACCTTCACCTCGGATGCCTCTCCCTGTGGAGAGCTTTCCGTGGCTTCGGTCTCCATTGACTCGACAGTAGCCCCAGGTACCTCTCCCTGTGGAGAGCTTCCTGGAGCATCAGTCTCCATTGGCACATCGGTCGGCTCGGTCTTAACCGGATCAACCTTCTTGCCCTGTGGCAAGTCCGTGGATCCAGACGACGGTTCGGAGGTATCCATCTGAGTAGCCGCGGGAGGCTCTTCAATCTCCTCGATCTGTGGACATGGGAGTCGCTCGATGAACTCCTCAATCATAATGTCGTCATATGGTCGGGTGAGGAGCTCATTCAGCTCAGACTCCTTCTTCGCCTTCAAGTCTTCGTACGCCACTAAATCAGCTTTTGCCTTGCGGGCAGCAACAGCCGACTTGAAATCGCGCTGGTCAGACTCCGTGAAGACTTTCTCCAGAACCGCCAGGAGGTAGCTGCCGTTGAACGGCTGCTTCAGGGTACTGTCATAGAGACAGTAGCCCTCAGGGGTTCGCACCGTGTATTTACGGCGAACCTCCAGATCACCGGCGTGGCGCTGGATGTAGGAGAAGAAGTCCACTCCATAAGCCTCATTGATGACGCGGACGATCATCTGGAAATCCTCTCGCACATAGCCAACCTCTTCATACACATACCTTTCCCTGAGGAAAGCCTTGTGTGCGGCGAGCTTGCGAGAGTAGTCGGGATCCTCTGTCCTTGGCATCTTTGCACGAGAGTCATTGTCCCGAGGGCGATCGAATCCAATGTTACCCACGTTGGGCCTGAATTCGTTCGACGCGGCAACGGAGACATCGTCCAGCAGCTGGGCAAGACCGCCAGGATGACGCTTAAAGTTCATCCAAGGTGACGTGTAACCGTTGGAGTAAACCTTCGGTTTCTTGTCCAGCTCCACGAGGTAGTTCCCCTGCAACTTCCCCATCTCGAAGGCCTTGAGGAAGAAGTGCAGGGAGCACCCCGAAAGAGGATGCTGCAACCACGATGCCCAATCGTATTCACCACCCAAAGACTCTCTCATAGAAGTAGTCAAAGTGTGCCAGGGGGTGACCTGAACGAGCGCATCGCCATAGGTGCTAAGCATCGGCTGGCCAGAGGAGTCCACCATGTGCAACTTGCCGTGCGCGAAGAGATGCCATGGATTCGTCCTGGCCTTGCGGAGAACCTCGTTGAGCTCCTCCTGCTGCTGGGACTTATGCGCATCAATCTTGCCGTGGACGGTGTCCCCAGCCTGATACGCATACTTGGTGTCTCCTTCGGAGGCTGTGGCTTGCCGCTCCCGCTCTGCCTTAAGCTCATTGTGACGAATAAGCTTCTGGAGAGCTGCCGCGTCCAATGTGGGTACCTTCTCCTGAGAGAAGCTTCCCGGTGACGCTTGGCCTGCATCCTGAGATGTCTTTGGCCGCTTCTTGGGAGCTGGCTTCGAAGGCATTGGATCCGAGCTGCTACCCGGTACCCCTCCCTGTGGAGGGCCTCC